TATATGTATATAATAAATATATGTATATGTCACCGTAAAATTGTAAACACCGTTAGATTGTAATATATCTCGCGAGATTGTGAACTGTCGAAAGATTGTGAACCTCAACGAACTGCTTACAATTTATAATCCAGTCAAAATAGACAAAAATAAGTCATAACTTAGCCAAAATTCGCATAGAGCTGAAAATTGGCAGAGACGTTAAATACATCATTATAAATGAAATGTCAAAAATCCCCTTCGATCCTACTTCTGCAAAAAATTTTATTCAAGGTCAAAAGTATAAAATTAAGGTTTTTTTCCATTTTCTCGAAAACAGTTAGTATTATCGTGAAAATAGATCAGACAAAAGTTGTAGATCATACAATTCTTTACAAAAATGGTTCAGTCACTTTTTCTCTTACGACTCACCATTCATGAGATATCGCGGTTTTAATCATTAGAAAATTCATATTTTACATAATATGCACTAAAATGCAGTCTGTATACGTCACCGGACGTTCAATATAAATGAAAATAAGAAACTATTCGTTTGTGTTACTTACACAATAAAACTTGTATAAATTAAATGAGGATTTTAAAATATAAGACTACTCTTGCAAATACTCACAATAAGTCTCGCTTCATTTTAATGCTATGTGAAGAATTTACAGCTGCTGGTATTTCAATAAAACAAGCTGATAATGATGCTGATGTCCTTATAATTGAAACAGCAATAGAACAATGGAAAAGTTCAAATACAACTGTCGTTGTTGGGGAAGATGTTGATTTGTTGATATTACTGACTGCACGTACTTCAAATGATAAAATTATTTACTTTTTAAAACCTGGGAAAGCTCAAGTACAATCAACAATATATTCATCACAAAGTCCGACTGCATATCCGAAATGTCAAGCTCATATTTTATTTTTACATGCAATAACTGGTTGTGATACTACATCAGCAATTTTAAAAACGTAATGATTTAATTCATTGCGCAGAAGTATTCACAAAGATTGACTCTTCTCCACACGACATCGTTACAAATGGAATTCATTTTCTTCTTGCAATGTATGGTGCTCCAAAAAAAATTGATTCCATAGACAAATATAGATATTTGAAGTTTGTAAAATCTGCATGGAACAATAAAACAGTACAGTTGTCTTGTCTGCCTCCAACATCTGCTTCTGCCTTTCAACACTTGTATCGTGTGTATTATCAAGTTCAAGTGTGGCTAGGCAATGAGCTGGACCCAGAAGAATGGGGTTGGAAATTAACAGATAATTATTTGGAGCCAATTCAAACTTTACTCCCGCCTGCTCCAGCAAAACTACTTAATACTATTTTTTGTAAATGCAAGACGGATTGTAGTAAGAATTGTGGCTGTCAAAAAGTAGGATTATTTTGTTCGCCAGTATGCATCAATTGTCAGGGTCAGACTTGCTCCAATATTGAAACAAATACAACAGATGAAGATATTTATGATATTAATGAAGAGACAATTGATGCATCCCTTTTCTTAGAACAGCAAACAGAAATTCTGCAAGAAGAAGAGAATGAAGACGAAGAAATAATTGTTGAAGTAGAATTAGACAATTATCTTATATAATGACATGTAGAAAAAAACAACCTATTCTACTTTAATCATTAGCAATATTACTATTCTTTCAATTAATAGGATACGATCTGATCAAACTTTCTTTATTACAATAGATCGTGGAGTATACCTACTGGGGAAACCACGTTAAAAAAAATGCGACAAGTACATTACCTCATAGGTGGTGCGGAAATGTGTGCATATTATGTAGAATATGAATTTTCTAATGATTAAAACCGCGATATCTCATGAATGGTGAGTCGTAAGAGAAAAAGTGACTGAACCATTTTTGTAAAGAATTGTATGATCTACAACTTTTGTCTGATCAATTTTCACGATAATACTAACTGTTTTCGAGAAAAATGGAAAAAACCTTAATTTTATACTTTAGACCTTGAATAAAATTTTTTGCAGAAGTAGGATCGAAGGGGATTTTTGACATTTCATTTATAATGATGTATTTAACGTCTCTGCCAATTTTCAGCTCTATGCGAATTTTGCCTAAGTCAAATGCCTATTTTGACTGGACTATTAACGTATTACCTACTATTCGGTAGATTGGGCCCTAAGTAGTATGGATTTCCGGCGACTGCCCTATCAGTAAAAATCGACACGTTGTACTCAGTTTAGTTTTATTAAACTTCGAGATTTTCAGCGTACTCAATTATACGTTGTTAATGTCCCACTAATGGCCATAGGCCTCCTCTCTTAGGCGAGAGGGAATGGTCTGTAGTCCCCACGCTAGCCCAATGCATATTGGAGACTTCACATTCATCCATTGAACATAATATCTCTTTGTCAGGGGCCCTCTTGGGTCGGGGCCCGTGGCATTTTGCCAGCCCTGCCACCCTATTGTTACACCACTGCTTTTGAGTGTCGTTATATAGTGTATATTACCCCAATACGCTTCACAATATGTCGCTGTCTCCGACTACAGCCGAGTTTCATCATCGGACCTCAAGGCAGAATACAAAATACCATCCGTATCACCTTGACGTCCGTTCCACAACTGAGCCAACAGCTGACCACTGAAGTATTTCCGAACCAATTCGACTTTGGGTCCTTGCGAGCTTTCTGGCACTGCAAGTGTCCATGGGCGGCGGTATCACTTAACATATAACAGAAGGTGAGCCTCCTACCCGTTTGCCTCCTGTAACAGAAAAAAAAGAAGAGAGAGAGAGACCTGCAATCGGGGAATGGGAGCTTGTTGACGCAATCCAGCGGCGAGTAGAATACTCAGCAAAAAGTTTATTATTTCCTGCAGCGGTTAGAATTATCCGGAACATTCGCAATGGGTGTTGATATTAATTTTGTAACTTATAACTTAATTTATCATATATATGTTAATATATATAAATTACGTGTCACGTTGTTTGTCCGCTATGGACTCGTAAACTACCGAACCGATTTCAATCAACTTGTACACCGTGTGCAGTTTGATCTAACTTAAAAGATAGGATAGCTCACATCTCAATTTATACCCGCAATATTATTTTATTGCAAAATATATGTTCATTATTTGATAGTCACAATTCTAACAGATGGCGCTGCGTTGAAAGTACCAACGTTTCAAATAAGCTACAATTTAATAGCTTTACCACCAAAAAAGCATGGTGGTCCCCATGACTAGTGTTCTCCTACCGTTTCCCTTGAATAGGTTACTACTATGTATATAACTAAAACCTTAGCCACAGCAACGCTTGGCCAATCTGCTAGTGTAATTATAAGTATCAAATTGCATTCATTTTTTAAATATTTATTCTAGTAGTTAACGTTTTGACATTTCATTTACATTTAATATTGAAATCGTGCGAACACAAACTTCAACTGACACCAGACACAATATGGCGACATATAACCCCTCTGTCTGAGCAAGAAAAACTATTAAAGAACAGCACTGGTACTGTATAACTTGGAACAGCGGTACCGACTCTGACGAGAGAACTACTCTCTCTTTACCCACGGTTACGAGTGGCATGAAAAACTCCCCTATATGGAAGGTAAGATTCAGAAACGACACTTTGGCAAAGTATGACCCAATAATAACCAGTGACCCTACCCTTGGTCCGAGCCCCAGATGGGTACCTGTTACGTGTTCTCTTTTTCTAATAGGCAAGTGGGTAATCTGCTGTGTGACACATTTTTTGTGTCTTCCGGTTCGCTCACGATGTTTTCTTTCTAAAAACTAAATCAGTGGCGCTAAAACCTTTTAGGGCATTTTTCTGGGCCTCCGATTTCTGTATCTGTTTCATGATCATTTGTTAATCTAATAGGCAAGTAGGTGATCAGCCTCCTGTGCCTGACGCACGACGTCTTTTTGGGAGTAAGGCAAGCCGGTTTTCTCACGATGTTTTCCCTTCACCGTTCGAGCGAATGGGAAATGCGCAAATAGAAAGAAAGGGATCGAACCTACAACTTCAGGGATGAGAGACGCACGCTGAAGCCACTAGCCACTACTACTGTTTCTTTCACTGCAATTAAAACAATGCCGGGATTCGAATCTGAGGGGTGAGAAAACATAGAAGAACTTGTCTATCTATAGAATTCACTTCACGTCACATCAATTAAGATTAATAATTCATAGACGTGTATAATAGGAGATGGGCGGGCGGCGTCAACCAATCCAAGGCGGGCAAATTACCTAACAATTATCGCACAGCCAATGAAAATCCGTGAAAAGTTACGAGTTTTCTAAATGTAACTATGATTTAGTGTTTCGGTTCGCGTTTGGAAAGTTACCCGTGAATGTCGTTGAAAAAAAATTACGTTTTAGACAAATCATTTTCCATTTAAGTAAATAAACTTGAATGGAATTAGGTCCGATTACTCAAATTGCATATTTGACTTACCAAACTTAATTGAAAGATATTGTTAGCTAATGTTTAAAAGTTTTTATCCAACTCCAAACCCCGGTCGCGGCAATTATCGAGCAAATTTCTTCTACAGTTAACTAATATTGTGATTAAAGGTGTATAATTCAAGTTTGTTAGACAGTTAACTATTAAAATAAACACAGTCAAAATAATTAAGAAGCAAAAGATACTACTGCTTTATATTCTCTTTTTTTATAACATTAATTGTTTTAATTATAAGAGATTGTTATTCAATTAATGCAATCATGAAAACAAAGAACATACTATCAATATATAGATATTTCTAGTTTTTTATTTAAATACAATTTTGTTACGAGTTTTTAAAACGCTCTCATCGGGCCTAATTGAACACAAAAGTGCTCGCGTGTTGATGGAATATATCACTACAAATTCTTCAAGAATTTTTTTTTTATCTAAAATTTTAATCGACCACCACCTCTCTGAAAAACATTTGTTTATTCTAAAATACACCCCAAACTTAACGTAAGATATACGATTGGTTCTTCCAAGAGATTCGCGTTGTTCAGTGTTTTAGAAATTAGTGGTAAACATGGAGCAATCAGGAATATATGATTTAGATCCAATGTGCAGTGGACACAGCGGAGCCTTGGCAGCGTTGCGACTTCTTCGGAGCTACAACCAGTTCGTTGTGCCGCCTGGTGAGTTCAGAATAATGGATATTCCTAAAACCTTCCTTTTGGTGTGTACCATTGATGCTGGCATTTTCTCGTACCTATTCCCACCAAAAACCGAGATACCTGGAGAACCTTGGAAGCATTCACCTGCGGAAGGGTTCTTGCAAAATAATTAGGAAATTGATATAATATATGTATCGCAGCCAACTAGCTTAATTAGCCGTTCAATTAACAACCTAGCCTTTTAACTAAACTAAGCGGCCTGAAAGATATTCAGCCGTAGCGTTTGTTACAACATTTAATAATCCAGAAATAAAAAAGGTGAAACATAGGACATAAAAAAATATTTCTTTTAAAATTAGATTGCTTGATAGACTCAACTCACGAAATAAAAAGGCTTTTTTTTTATATTTTTGCCTATTCATTGAGTGGGAAAAGCTCTGGGGTAACCAAGCAGCAACATATATAATTATATATCTTTGATTACATCTGCACTTGAAGCCCAAGAGTGTCTCCATAGGGATAAGTCAAAGTTGGGGAAAAATCACTCGTATTTTTTTTAAATAATTTTGTATCAAATTGATATCAAGAATTAAAAATAAATCAGCGGCGCTACAACCTCTTTTGGTATGGGCCTCAGATTTCTGAATATATTTCATGGTCATTTTTAAATCTAATAGGCAAGTAGATCAGCCTCCACACGCCGTCGACTTTTTGGGTCTAACAGTGGAAATCAACAGACAAATCTCTTTGTTGGTGGAAATGTAAACCTATTTAATTTAAAAGGCGTCCGTCCCGCCTAACCATTTCCCGCTCATTACCCATTCGCGGTGGAAACCCGGCTTAAGACATGTCGGTTGCCGCACGATGTTTTCCTTCGCCTTTTGAGCGAATGTTAAATGCGCACATTGAAAGAAAATCCATTGGTGCACAGGCGGGGGTCGAACTTATCTTTTCATTCTTATCTTTTCTTTTTATTCAAGGAAATTAATATACTTACCTTTCCCTCGCAATATATTTATGAAAATATTATGTATGTATACAAAAATAGTGATAAGTTTACTAGAATAGAACATACGCACAATGTTAATACACGGAACAAACGCAGGCTGCAATTTCCCCGTACTAGACTATCTAAAGTTAGTAATTCTTTTTTGGGAAAAGGGATACTCTTCTTTAATAAAATCCCAGAGGCTCTTTTATCTCTGCCTTTCAATAAATTTAAGAAATGTATTAAAGAAAAGCTGTGTAAAAAGGCTTACTATAAAGTCAACGATTATCTAGTTGATAAAAGCTGGGATCAGTCCTAGACAGGCTACTTCTAATTAATTTGCGAGATTTGTTTTAAAATAAGTGTTGTTTGAAGATTTGCTTTTTTAAAAGAGTACCGAGAGTTTTTTACTCCGGTTTTTTCTCTCGGCCTACACCTTCTGTCTTCTTTGCCGATGAGTAGGGATGCCTACAGATTCAAATTTAATGATGTGGAATAATTAGTGATACCTGTATCTTATGTTCCATAACAAACATTTTTTATTTTATTTTAGAATAGACTAACTGTCCGAGGTAGCTGCCAGCTCTTCGGTCTCCTGTGGTGAATAATAATATATATTGAATAGCGAACCAATAAGATATATTAAACATTATTTATGAGTTATTGTGAAATTGTTTTGGGAAGCCCGTAAAACGAAACGCACCCATCCCACTTTACGCAAACCCTCTTTTCACCGTCGCAGTAGGTAATTTGAAGTTGATCGTTAAGCGCTGTTACCACCCATTACGGTATCCAGCTGGTACTATCCCACGACCTAATGATCGACTATTTGACTGAGGAGCGCAAAGAAGCGACACCTATTGTAATAGCGTCACTGTAGAATGATAACCTCGTATGGCAAAAAACCATTTTATTTTTCTTAGATTCTTATGTAATTTAACTGCTATAATCATGAAGTAAGGACTACAAATAATACATGTTATATTAAATTTGATATACAATTAGTAACGAAAAGTTAACATATAATAACTAAAATATATTATTAAAAGGAGTCCCTTTAGGCAAGGTTCCGAAGATACTGGCAGCGTTCCCCCTTTGAATCGCTAGACTAATTCTTTGTCCGAGGTAGCTGCCAGCTCTACGGTCTCCTGTGATGTGGACTAACCTTTTTGATATTTCCTTAAAGAGCCTTATAGCGCTAAGACACCACGGACCAAGGGTCTCGACACCGAATGGGACAAAAGTAAGGACTTATTTATGTTTTTAATAAACAATCTAAATATTATCTGAAACGATATACTAATAATATTTTAACGGACATTGACGATATGAAACATGTTTCGTTTCCTGTAATGTTTGGTTCTCTGGACATACGAGGTTATCATTCTACAGCGACGCTATTTTATGTGGCCATATAGCGATGACGTCATGTGTCGCGAAGCTATATACTTCTGATCCATTGGTGCCTTCAGACCAGGATTTAGACTAGTCGAGAACCTTTACTTTTGGTCGGAAGACTCCGCTTAAGATTGTATAAAAATAGACGTCCTACGTGAAACTTATTTAGGCCCATGAGGGTAACGAAACGAAAACGTCACGAAGATGTGCAGCGTTTTTGTCGATTGAGAGAGTGAGAAGGGCGAAAAAAAGCTTATTTTTTATATGATTTATTAAAAAGTGTTATATAGTGTTGCAATAAACAAATATTGTCCTGACGATTAGCGATAGTTTAAAGGGTCGCTCGTGTCGGCGATCAGACGATCGGGGCCCTTGTGCATTATTTATTGTGTAGAGACAGCAAAAACATTTTTTTATATAAAATGCCGAAAATTACGCCATACATTCAGGAAAAATCAAGTCACATTGCCAAGCCTAATCCAGACCTGGCAACGAATGATGCTTCGTCAGGTCAGAGGCAAAGGAAGCTCAAACAACGTGGAGTGGAATTATAAGAGCTGCCCAGGATCAGGCTGGCTTTCTATTCTGGATGCCCTCTGGATGCCCTCTGCCGGCCATAGGACAAGTTAAGAATATTGTTAATACTATTGATATTATTTTTCTGTCTTCTTTACCGATGAGTAGGGATGCCTACAAATTCAAATTTAATAACGTGGATTAAGGGATACCTGTATCTTATGTTCCATAATAAACATTTTTTGAAGTTATACTTCTTTAGGCGCGTTATGAAAAATTGATGAGAGTGAAATTTTACGATGCGCGCGCACCGTGACACAAAATTAACAGAATGAAGTTGCCCACTGAAGATGCTACGTCATTGGACATAATTTAAAAACAAAATTCGAATAATAATAGAATGTATGTTACACAATGTAAGAGAATAATAATAAATATTTATTTATTTAATTTTTCAAATGTAAACTGAACTTAATTGACTATAATGACTCCTTTTCCAGTCTTTGATTATTTAATTGTAATTAATTATTTGCATGCAATCAAAAACTATTTTTAATAATGCCAAAGAAGTATAACTTCCTCCACGCGTACATAAGTACACGCACCCTTTTTATTATCATTTTTTTCTTATATGCTATCCGTACCTATTGTGTAGGGGCCAAGCACCTGCTTGTACTGATGTTACCTGTAATTGGTTCTATCAATAATAAACACTACACACCCCTCTTTATTGATCTTATGATTTGTGTCAATATTTATATTTATCATATCAGGAAAAATTTAATCTGTGATCCATAGGATGCAATAAATAGAACCACTTTTAAATAGAAAAGAAACAACCAGGGAACATGCAGTAACCGCGTTAATCAGATACAATGCAGGTAGCAATAGACGCTAAGCTACACTAGGCCCTTCCCATCTACATAGAACCAACAACAGAGCTGGTGCGGCTGAAAAAGCTAAAGCACGCAAATACAGGGGTCTAGGCTCTGAATATGATTTAAGTTCCTAATTAAAAGGACCGTGGGGTCCTAGCGCTAGAAATAGCTAAAAGGTTAGTTGACATCACAGGAGACCGAAGAGCAGCAATCTCGGACAAAGAATTAGCCAAGCTATTCAAAGCACGCAGCCAGTATTTTCGCAACCTTGCCTAAGGGGACTCCTTTTAATAATATATTTTAGTTATTATATTTTAAGGTTAGTTATTGTTCTAAGTTAAGAAAATTGTTAATAATAAAGTTCAAGAATATAGAATGTACATTGGTGCACAGACCACGAGGCTAGTATTGGAGTTTATTATAAAAAGGTTTTATATTGTTTCAGATGGTCATCCAATGGTACCACTGCTGGCGGCTTTGCCGTCTCCACCATGTCTGCCATCATACTGCCATTTACCTGTAAGACCTTCCCGTAAGTGTTTTTATAGAATACTAGCCACACTCGGCGAAGCGTTGCTGTGAAACGTTTGTACTTTCAACACAGCGCCAGCTAGAATTGAGACTATCAAAAAATAAACAAATATTTTGCAATAAAATAATATTGCGGATATTAAGTGAGGTGTAAGCTATCTTTTAAGTTAGATCAAACTGCACACGGTGTGCAAATTTGATTGAAATCAGTTAAGTAGTTTAGGAGTCCATAGCGGACAAACGTGACGCGTAATTTAAATATATTAAGATTGAAAAATTATATAAGAATATGAAAGAAATGTTCTCCTTCGTAATTATTTTCTATTATATATAGATTCTTAAATTAACTGAGTATAATATAAATACTAGCTGGTGCCCGACTTCGTCTGCGCAGGATTAAAATAATATAAATTTAAAAAATACCAGAAAAGATAAAAGTATCTATTTTCATTTAGGAATCAATTTATTACTACCAAATGCAAAATGGAATTAAATTATTAATTTTTATTGAAGTTATGGGTCACTATTTTGGCTATAATGGCATACACATAAGATATACACTATATGTATACTATACCTTTTTTGTAGAATTATTTAAGATAAACATTTCCATCATACATCACATAATATGTGTACCTCTAGCGGTTTTGGCAGCGCACGCAAGAATAGCTCGCAGATGGTAGATTTTTTCCTACTCACTTGATATTTTGGACACACAATATCTTTATAAATTGTAGCCTATGTGTTATTCTGATGTATAAGCTATATTATTGTAGTTTCTAAAATCCATTCAGTAGTTTTACGTAAAAGATCCATCCATACTTACAAACTTTCGTGTTTATAATATTAGCAGGATATAAAATAATTTTATTAAATTATCACTTGGCTTCTATTTATTTATAGCCTTATATCAGTAATACAAAATATATACATTATAAATATTGTTTTTCTTAATCTACGATAACTGATTCTGTGTGCCTACGGGCAAAGGCCTCCCCCGTTGTCCTCCATTTTTCCTTACCAATCTCGTCCAGGTCTTAGTTTTTCCGGCCATTTCCGTTAATTCATCGGCCCACCTTTTAAATTGCCTACCTCTGTTTCTTTTATGGCCTCTTGGTTGCCATAGTGTTACAATTTTGCTCCATTTATCTGCTCCTCTTATGGTATGTCCAGCCCATTTCCAATTTAGTTCTTGGCTTCTATAGGAGTTCACAAAGGAATTCAAATATGTTGTCTGCTTGGACAAATCGTTTTATCTGGTTTCCCAGAGAACACCTGAGACATATGCCAAAAGAATTTGTTGAATGTCAACTAGCCAATACAATTTCATTTCGCCTTTGTTGGCCATGATTGACACAAATAAATTTCGTCATAGAATACATACCCCAACAACCATGATCGACCCCAATCTAGAGTCTTGTACTGCTCCAGATTTCCATCAGTGGTACACATCAGAGAACTTTTAACTAACAAAAATGTCGGGATTGGAAGTCAAGAAAAATTAACTTATTTAGGAATAAAACAAATATTTTAGGTTTCGTGTTCATTTGTTTTTTCTAATAGGAAAGTTGGTAATCAGCCTTCTGTCCCATGCGCCGTTTTTTGGATTTAAGGGCGGTTTACTCACGATGTTTTGCTTCACCGAGAAAGTGTTAACGGACATAGTTAGACATACTTTCTTTGATATATATTTATATAGTTGAATAACATAATTTTATTGTTACCAATCCAGTTAATATTATTAGTACTTAACTATTTGTAAAGATTTATTTAACGGCGTAAAAGAACATTGTATTTAGTAAGTAAGTTAGTAATAAGCTGTAAATCTTTCTCAATAAATAAAATAAAAAATAAATATCCTTCCAGGGATCGAACCTACGACCTCAGGGATGTGAGTCGCACCGAGGAGCAACTACCAACACTGATCTATTATTTATCTATACCTACAGTTAATAAATATAGAAAACTAATTCGACATATTTTAAACATTTGTTTAAATTTTAGTTGTTCCCAATCCCCAAATCCTATGCGAGAGTGAGCGGCGTCGTGGTGAGAAAAGACCAATACCAGCAGAACTTAAAGATGATAAATACTTTGAGAGGCGAAGACGGAACAACCAGGCAGCCAAGAAGTCAAGGGATGCGAGACGAATCAGGGAAGATCAGGTAAATCCGGCATGTAATCTGCCAAGATTAGATCGCAGTTTTCGTTGATATTCATAATTTTATACATTTTTACCATCCTTTTCTTCAAGCCATTTTTGACCCCCTATAATGTGGATAAAATTAGAAGTCTAAAGCCAGTTACTAAGCAGGCATTGTACAAACACGGTATATTTCAAATTTCAGTAAATATGAACTATTACTTTGGGATCTAAATAAATAAATCAAAATCAAAATCACTTTATTTGACGCAAAAACAATTACATTTTGTGCTTACATTCTAAAGGTTACATACAATAGGCAATGAATCGTTTAGTTACACTACTCATTTTGGTTAACATAAAATAATTATATGAGCACTAGCGAGCACTAAATTCAAAAATCATTTAATCATATAGGTAACACAATGTACACTTATGATCGTCACTAGGCCTAGCCTGTATCTTAAACGCTAGTTCTCAGTTCTTAAAGTCCGAGTTGACTGAAGTGATAGAACATGAACAAGATGGTGACCGAAAATTGTGATTCATTGGTTTATCTAACGAAATATGAATTGGTTTTAATAAGTATTTTTATATTTTATAACAGTAGAAATAAGATAAACTCGAAGTTCCCACAATAGACTCTATAATAAACGTAGATAGAGTATAAAACTAGATGAGCTTCTAAAATAACAATAATAACTAAAGAGAGAAGGCATTAACGTGAAATACTTAAGTGCGAGCGAAACAGAGTAACAGTTTTTCTGTCTCTATTTGCGTATCGGGTTTTATTTGTTTACCACCGAGCCCTTGGTGGTAAACAAGTTTTCACCGCTTACTGATAAATCTGTGAAACCCAAGTCAAACCATATTTTAAGACTTATAAGAGGTGTATTTAAAGTGTCAGTCATTGTGAATTGTTGCATAATTGGCTGTAAAAGCTATAGTGAACGTAAAGAACCAAACATAACCTTTCATCGGTAAGGAGCTTATTTTGTCACGACTCAGTAACTTTGTTCAAGAATTATTCATTCGAATGTGTATTTTGGTCAATAATAAGCAATCTTCAATGAATTAAAACTGTAAATATGACATATGTCGATCATTCGCTATCTCACACGCTGTATTCTGATGCCTGGTCTATAACATAGTCCGTCTACGATAATAAACTACCAAGTTATGTCAAGCTTGTCAAATAATAAATTTAAGAACATTATAAAACAGAAGCTCTCATGTGATTCAACTGAAAAATAAATCATTGGCGCTACAACCTCTTTAGGTCTTGGCCTCAGATTTCTGAATCTGTTTCATGATTTTTAAATCTAATAGGCAAGGAGGTGATCAGCCTCCAGTGCCTGACACACGTCGTCGACTTTTTGGGTCTAAGTCATGTCGGTTTCCTCACGATGTTTTCCTTCACCGTTCGAGCAAATGTTAAATGCGCACATAGAAAGAAAGTCCATTGGTGCACAGCCGGGGATCGCACCTACGACCTCAGGTATGAGACGCACGCTGAAGCCACTAGGCCAACACTGCTCTGATTCAACTGAGTACTTACATAAAGTTAAGAAAAATAAAAGTTAAGTGTCGATATTGTGATTTGTTTATTAGTGAGTCACGCATGCGCGGTGACATCCGCGCCGAGATCTCGAAACATATTTTCGATTTCGCCGAACACTGAATTATCTCTAGGATTAGTTTAAACTGTATGACAAACAAACTGGCAAAAAAACTTGTGCCTATTATTAGCAGTCCACAAGGAAAGAATATGTACTTTGGAGATTGTTCTGAAAAGTTTTCGGGGTTCCTCCTGCCTAATTTCATCACTGTACGAGCCGTATTAAGTCAACATTTCATCCGCATCATCTTGATTCCACTTCCAAATTCTTTGGAAGTCTTCCACGGTCCGCTTCACAAGACATTTTCTTTTGCGAACTAGCGAACTGTGGAATTGACTCCCGGTGGCGATACAACCTCCAATTGTTTAAAAAAAGACCATACTCCTGGTCAAAGGCTGGAAATGGGTGCGTTTTAAAAAATTGCTTTAGTCGGCAGTTCGACTGGTCCTGATTTTAGGTCGGAAGACGCGATCTTCCTTCACATATAATTTAATGTTTTTTTACAGATAGCGTGGAGAGCCTGTCTTCTAGAACAAGAAAATGCTTCCCTCCGAGCACATGTAGCTGCATTAAGACAAGAAACTATCGCTCTTAGGACCCTACTCGCAACTCGAGATGAAGCACCCGTTCCTTCTTCTACCACAGATTAAATAAATGTATTAAATTGATACGCGTGCTATATAAGTTATGAAATCGCTGTTCACAAAAAGGATTTTTTTCAAAATAGTGAAATTAGTGTAAATCATTATTTAATATTGTCGTTGCTTTTTTATTCTGTAGTATTTTTTCTGATTTTGTAATGTCTCTGGTATGTGCATACTACAGACTATACTATTTACTGTAATAATATAATAATAATATACTCTTTTCTTATGGTGTTATATTTTATCTGTGAGTGTCTATACTTTTTTTATTTAACCCATAGCAGGCGTTTATATGAATATTACTAAATTAGATATATTCCTATAAAATATTATTAAATAAAATGGGCAATATTTATACTATTAATAGGATAGGATAGGATATTTCTGATCAAGATCTCGTCTCGTAGGGCCATAGGGCTTTTATTAATTTATTAATACAAATATTAGTTAATCTATGAGCTGTAAAAGTTGTTGTAAATCAATCCAAAGCCGCGACAATTTTAGCTATTTTTTTTTAAATTTATTTATTAGCCGGAAATTTTAGCTTTATTTTTCTAATGTTGCCATGTTAAGTATTATTTGGATTTCGGCGAGTCCTTTATCTTATAGTTTTTAAATACAATTTTATGAGGTTCCGACTAGTCATATCATTCCAAAGTTACTCAATAATGTGATATTTTTTTTAAAGCTGTCGCAATTCATTAAAATAAACGCCTATTGTTTTCTTATTTAGATATGTATTACATTGGTTAATCTAAAAAAGGAAACAATAGTAGCAATGTTTAATGAAAGAAATGAAATTTTATACAGTAACCAAACATGTATTATTAACGTTATTTAAAATCAGAAGATTTTTTTTTATTGGTGGCAAAATAATTGAAAATATTATATAATAAAATAAAAAATGTACTTTGGCCCCTAGTTAATTACTTATATTTAAACAATAGTTATATATCCGTCCATTTAAAAATAAATTAAAAGTATTAAGGTTAGATCTCATTATTATATAGTGTATATTAAAATAATACGTAGTTACTGATATTTTCATTATAATAATAAATGTTAAAAAAAATTGTTTGTTTTGTTTATTTTATACCCGAATTGTCGAATCGCTTTAATTACCATTTGATGATTTGTCAGAGTGACTGCATCGTTACGTTTTAAAATGATTAAAATGTTGGTTAAATGTTTTCGACCATCACACTAAAATTACTAAAATTGCTGTACTCTAATGGCGCTACTTTTTGAATTTTAACATTCTGTGACGCTGACGACGGTCATTGTCTTGATTGGTTATATTCATAAAGTAGAAGTATTGCGTCAATTACAAAACAGGGCAGCACATAATAACCAATTACAACGTTTCTTTAATAGACTAGAATGATCTGTGTCAACTGTCATGCGTTTTTCGTATTTCGTAATTTTTGTGAATGGCAATAACTCTAGAACATTGTAAAACTAAAGATAAAAGAATTGTTCTTTCGTGAAGTTGCGTCATCCACATGGTTCCCATTTTCGCCTGTAGTAGAATAAAATATTAAAGGATATTGATAAGTTCGTAATTTAATTAAAAATGTTGTCCGCGACGCGAGTGATTAGCCGAAAGGCTTTGGAGTGTTCAGGAATTGGAACTGACTTTTACACTCAAAGGAATTTCTCTACAATCCTAAAAAATGTAAGTGACAATTTTTTATTTAAAAACGAATGAAAATCGATTGTCATCTAAAATATTATTGTCAGAATAATTATATTAATAAGTTAATGTACTATTTAAATTCAACTAAATAGCGTTAAAAACCTTGTGCCATTCGGCACATGTGAAAATCTATTTTTTAGGTTTTCAATGTTCTTCCTGAATTTGTTGAGTTTTATTTCATTTACAGACCGCAGCACCCACCGTTCCAATATATCAGCGCCATGCAATTCAATACAGGCAGAAGTAAGTTATTACCATAGAAAATTTTCGTATAAAACATAACCTAACTTAAATAACCTTTGTAATTTGGACATCCGCTTGTATGTATAACCGACAATTTCTATGATTGAACTACACTAACAATATTTTGTTATGTGAAGTAAATCTCAAAGGTCACTTATTTACAACCAAATACTGATGTAGCAATAATTGTGCAATAATTTCTTGCACAATGATAATATTATTCTAACTTTATTAAATGGAAAAAGTTAATGATCTAAATTAACCATGAAATACTTCTATATGCCATTAAGTACTTATAAGAAACAAAAAAATATAATTTTTCATTTAATGTTTGAATTTACCTTAATCGCCTTTTAAAGACAATGAAATGCATCTAGTGTGAAAAAAACTTTTCCACAGAGTATGAAGTTTTACTACTTTTGATAAATTTGATAAAAAAAACAAATAACGACTATATAATATTTTCACTGAACAGATCAGATGGTGTTCGCGGCGCCGTCATCGGTATTGACTTGGGAACAACTAACTCATGTGTTGCCGTTATGGAAGGAAAGACACCAAAGGTAAATTAGTTACTAATTCTTTTGATTCTGATGTAAAAGGGGACTAGCATATTCCTGGTGCCATAGGTACTATTTTTTGCACTGCTATTGCCCAAACCACAATTATTTGTGGAACTAAAGCAATATCCCGTTTTTGGTGTTACTATTTTATATTTGTTTTCTTATTCAAAAAAATTCAATATCATATATTCATTAAGGTAACACAATGTACACTCATGAACATCAATTAAGAAATACATATTAAATGCATCTAATTTCAGTTATCAAATCGAGGGCATAGAATGGACTGGCAATAAACTCCCTGCCACTCTTTTCAATTACCGAGTTTTTGTTTTAGAAATTGTTTGTAAGGAGCCGCAATTATTAAACCATGTTCCTTAATTATACATAAATAGAACATAACTTAAATGACACTAAGTAGAGATATACTTCGTCTCTTTGGTTTCTATTATCTATTTGTGGTCTCCCTATAGCAATTGGTTATACATTCAAAGTACAGCCAACATGTTTTTCCATCTGTAGTTTCACTCTACTCATCATAGTGTAAATGTTATTAAAAACATATTGGATTCCATTGTTAGGACATATTAGATCTGAGGTGTCCGTACCTTTCTACAACTTCTAAAAATGTTAATAAAACTCATAAAAAATTTTAGGTGGTGGAAAACACAGAGGGATCTCGTACTACCCCATCACATGTAGCGTTTAGTAAGGATGGTGAACGATTGGTTGGTATGCCGGCTAAACGTCAGGCAGTTACCAACAGCGGAAACACCTTCTATGCTACCAAGAGACTGATTGGTCGCAGATTTGAAGACCCGGAAGTGCAAAAGGATATGAAAAACCTGTCATACAAGGTTGTCAGAGCTTCCAATGGAGATGCCTGGGTGCAAGGTAAACATATTATAAACGAAGAAAGATTTGTTTGTAACATAAAAAAAACTACTGGACCGGTTTGAAGTGTTCTTTCACCGATTGCTCAATTATTATTACAGAAACATATCCTATTTTAAGATGAGAAGGAACACTCCCTTTATCTTTGGTTTATATGTATGTATTTAGATTGTACAGTCAATAATTTAATTTAATAAACCATTAGAGGTTCTACTCCAATGTGTAGTCTCATTTTGCTTAAAAGTTGATAGACATGATGTACACACAATAATAATAATAAACTCCATTTTATTTCCAATCATGACAAAAAAAAATTATAATATACAGCTTAGATTATTTTCCATTTTTTTTTTCCATTGCTTGTTATGCTATACCCTAGCTTCCTTCAGTACCGTCGATCGGAACCCCTTCACGGGTAAAGGCCTCCTCCATCTTTTTCCAACTGACTCTGTCTATAGTTCTCTTTCTCCATTTGTTTCCTGCTACCGCTTGTATTACTTCTATCCACCTTTTTTTTGGCCGACCTCTTCTTTTTCCTCTTTGTCCTTTCCATAATCAATGATAAGTAATATAAATCAGATTTGAACAATTGGTTAGGACTGTCCTAGCTTCATGTACAATTAAACAATACATATTTAATTGGAAACATCAATTATTCCTAGATAACATTATCCCGCCCAGTCATTAGAAACGTAGTAGCCATTTTGGGGTTTCTTTCCTACTAACAATTCACAAACTTTCCTCCACGCAGAGTTTGGTGAAATTAATAAAGCATTGTCGATCACTGCTTGTACTCATGTGCAAATGGTTTTGCAGCGATGCAAGAATAATTCGCAGCACCAGCTGGTCTAGACTCTCTGGTCTAGTGCCTTCCTAGATACTGCGATACATTGCTTCTAAAATATAAATTATTAGTAATTAAAATATATTTCAATGTACTAGTTTATGCGTAAACCAAAGACAAATATCATTTACTTTTTTTTTATTTTTATTAATCCGCTATCCATCACACTTTTATTTTCTTTCGCGTGATTGCTTTCCAGTATTGCCATTTTTTTACATCAGCAAAATAAACCTCATTCGTCGCATATAATTTTAAATGGACGGCTCATTGGTCTAGTGGTTAGTACCCCTGACTGCGAATCCATGGGTCCTGGGTTCGATCCCCAGCTGAGACAAACATTGATGTGATGAGCATTTGGTGTTGTGCTTAGGTCTTGGGTGTTTAAATATGTATTTATATTTGTTAGGTCTATCTATCTATAATATGTATGTATATCCGTTGCCTAGTACTCATAACACAAGCTTCACCAGCTTAGCATGGGACTAGGTCAATTGGTGTGAATTGTCCAATCAAAAAAAAGACAAAAAAATGTTTGTGTTTGTTTCCAGGAAGTGATGGCAAAGTCTATTCGCCGAGTCAGATTGGTGCGTTCGTTCTTATCAAGATGAAGGAGACGGCCGAAGCGTATCTGAACACTACAGTTAAGAATGCTGTGGTCACTGTACCAGCTTACTTCAATGACTCTCAGCGGCAGGCAACCAAGGATGCTGGTAAGATTTTAGGGTGGCAGTCAGAGTCTATATACTCTGATATTTCATTCAGTAGAATTCTGACATTTCATAAGTGTTGCTACTTAAAAAGTTTTCCACTGAAAAAGGGACGAATTTGTCCCATTTGAGGGCAATGAAAAATAAATTGCTATGTATTTTTTATGTTTTATGGAAAGCGGTGGAACGACGCGTTCCAGTATGTGTAGAAATTTTGTACACTTTTGGTGTAAATACACAATAGTAATATCTTTCTGGTTTCATCCTTTTTTGTTCGTTAATATTTTGTATAGTAGTAGTAGTTTTTGACGTGACAACGTCTTATAATTCGATGGAGCCGGCTGCACGCACGAAAAAACATGACTCATGCGGCGTTACCTCGCTCTGAGGCGTTACCTCGCTCTGAGGCGTTACCTCTCTCTGAGGCGTTACCTCGCTCTGAGGCGTTACATTTAAAATTGACATAATTGTATTTATGCGTACAAATAAATGTAACTTGATCAATTCAATTGTGATTTCCATTTACCTCCTTCTCTATATCCATACAAAATACCTATCAAACAAATAAAATTTAATTTTTTGACGTGACAACGTCTTATAATTCGATGGAGCCGGCTGCACGCACGAAAAAACATGACTCATGCGGCGTTACCTCGCTCTGAGGCGTTACCTCGCTCTGAGGCGTTACCTCTCTCTGAGGCGTTACCTCGCTCTGAGGCGTTACATTTAAAATTGACATAATTGTATTTATGCGTACAAATAAATGTAACTTGATCAATTCAATTGTGATTTCCATTTACCTCCTTCTCTATATCCATACAAAATACCTATCAAACAAATAAAATTTAATATTTTTTTTTGAAAAATGCAACCATCCCATCAATATTTTTTTATGACGTTGTCACGTTCAACTATCGTCAGTAAACCGACTTTACAGACAACCGATTTTTTTATTTTATAATAATTTGGTATATTGTTCGTGATATTGAAATATTTGTTATTTTTGTATTAGATCACTTGAGTAAGTAAATATTAAGATTTACCTTTTTGTAGGTAAAAAATAAAAATATGTAGCATTTTATATTTTATTGCCCTCAAATGGGTCAAATTTGTCCCTTTTTTGTTGGAGAACTTTTTTAGTAGCAACACTTATGAAATGTTAGAATTCTACGGAATGAAAAAATGGAGTATAGTAAAAATTTGTATTTTAAAATTGTGCATCGTCGATCACTGCTTGTACATATGTGCAAATGGTTTTGCAGCGATGCAAGAATAACTCGCAGCACCAGCTGGTCTAGACTCTCTGGTCTAGCGCCTTCCTAGATACTGCGATACAGTTTAATAACACAATATATTCCAAACACGTAATTATTTCTGTCATCAAATATTGTAAATGATAATGGTATATATATATATTGATAGTATTTGGAATATTTAGAAAAATTTAATCAATTTTCAAATATCTGTCAATATTATTAGTATATAGTATATACCAAATCATATCTCAAAAACTACTTAACTGATTTAAGACGCTGCTCCCTAGTTGGAACATATAAAAGGTTACGCAGATAACCTTTCACCTTTAATATACAAAAGATGTATACATATAATATTTTTTCAGGACAAATCTCTGGTTTGAACGTACTCCGAGTGATCAATGAACCCACAGCCGCCGCACTCGCCTATGGAATGGACAAGACGGAAGATAAAATGTAAGTTTATATATTCGTTACCTTACAATTAGGGAGCGTTCAAGTATTACGTAACGTATTTTGGGGGGATCCTTTTGTAAAACGTTACGATGCGGGGCGGGGATTAAATTACGCGTTATTTCTAATATTATTTTCGACTTACACCACATAATAGTAACTAAAGAGTCACTAGGTGGTCACGAAACGTTTTACTGTACTTGGGTACTGAATAACGTTACGGCGAGTTACATGGGGGGTCAATAATCTCCAAAAATTTGCGTTACGTAGTACTTACTTGTAATAACATATGGATCTCAAACTAGGCGCCCACTAAAACGCAGCATACAAAGCTACAAGTGTGTCAAAGATTGATGGAATTGTGTATGATAGGGAAGAAAAGAATAGATTAAAAAAAGAATACATATTTAAGAAGAATAACTAAGGTAGCAGATGTAAAAAATTAAAACTTAGTGGAAATGGGCGGGGCACATGGCCAAGAGGTACTGAAAAGTGGAACAAAAAAGTACTAAACTGGTGCCCAAGGTACAATAAAGGAGAAATAGGAAGACAATTTAGAAGGTGGAGACCAGATGGAAATAGCCGGTGGTTCATGGCAGAGAGAGAATTTTTAGAAACTGGCAACCCTAGTTAGGGAGCGTTCAAGTATAAGGTCACGCAATTTTTGGAAATGTTTGGGGGACATGTAACGCGCCGTAACGTTTTTCTGTACCCAAGAGTAAACCGTTTCGTGACCACCCAGTGAGTCTTTATACCTAAAAGATACCATTTTGTAGTGCAAAGTACTAAAAAGTCGAAAATAACGCGTAATTAAATCCCCGCCCCGCATCGTAACGTTTTGCAAAAGGACCCCCCCAATTTCGTTACGTAATACTTGAATGCTCCCTAAAAAAATTAGAAAAGAAATACTAAGGGTAAAGTGAAAGAAGTTCTCGAAAGTACTTCAGTGGGTAGCCGGTTCCACAATGTGGAAATGCTGAGCTGTGGAAGTGAGTGAGTTGTTCAAGCAACACTGAAAAATTATACAATTAACAAACTTAATCTAAAATTAAATAAAAACTTAAAGCTAATAAAGGTTAATGACAATTCAAAATTCCTATACAGAAGAATAAGAAAATACCACAAAAACACGATTGAGCAGGATAGGATATGGTTAAATAGTGGTTATGACTTCTAAAGGAGGTTAGAGGCTGCCAATAGAGTCAGGTAGGATATTCCTCAACATGCGGAGATCCTAAAAAGGATGTGAAATGGAGTTTATATACTCTGATTTTTAATTCCGTAGAATTCTGACATTTACATAAATGTTACTACTAAAAATGTTCTCCACCGAAAAAGGGACAAATTTGACCCAGTTTAGGGAAATAAAATAAAATGCTACGTATTTTTTATGTTTTACCTACAAAAAGATAAATCTTAATATTAACTTACTCAACCTAATACAAAAATAACAAATGTTTGAATATCACGAACAATATATCGAATTAACTTTAAGTACATTATTTTATTCTTTAGCTGGCATCACTGCCTACTAATTCCAGGTTTCGTAAACCTTTTTTACTGTTCGTGATGAAAAGGGACGCAATTATCAGTCGCCGTAAAACTACTTTTAATGTGGAGCACCGCATTTAATAAAATGGATACATTTACTAACAAATAAAATGTATGTATATACTCAGATGTTCAGACTCGTATTGAAATAGAAAAATTTGCCCGGCCAAAAAGGTTTGTCATCTCTGACATGTCAAAAAATGATAGCTGTCAGAATTCTACGGAATTAAATAGAAGAATAGAACTTTATTCAAAAAATTAAACCCGCGATTTATTTCGCGTTTTTTAATTTTATATACACTATTTTATCATATTGCATAGCGGTAATATACAATGCATCGTCGAACACTGCTTGCGCTCATGTGCAAATGGTTTTGCAGCGATGCGAGAATAACACGCAGCACCAGCTGGTCTGGACTCTCTGGTCCAGTGCCTTCCTAGATACTGCGATACAAAACATTAATTCTTATTAACAAACTATTTGATCTAAATAGACGTATAAACTCGGCAGCTGATTCCGCATAGAATATTTTCATAGGTTTTTTGATTCCGAAATTTTGCGGAATGTATATTTTGTGTATATGTCAACGTAAAATTGTCAATACCGTTAGATTGTAATCTATCTCGCGATATTATGAACTGTCGAAAGATTGTGAACCTCAGCGTACTGCTTACAATTTAACGTATTATTATTCGGTAGATTATAATCTATCGAAGTGAAATCGTGAAATTGTAAGCAGTACGCTGAGGTTCACAATCTTTCGACAGTTCATAATATCGCGAGATAGATTACAATCTAACGGTATTTACAATTTTACGTTGACATATTATATATAGGTGATCGATTAAGTAGTTTTAAATACGAAACTAGTAAAAACTAAAAGTTGTACTTGTGATATTTTTATCGTTTTGTAAAATTTAATTGATTGATCATATATTTGTATGGACAATGTCGAATTTGAAAAACAAATCAAAACCCACTTTTTATCATATTTGGATATTCACTAAATATTACGGCTACATTAAAAAAAATCCAATCTGTTTTAAATTTCAAATTAATCAGTCGGTAAAGTGACGGATTTGATAGAAAACTGTGTAATTAAAGAAAAGAGTACAAATTCTAAAAAGGCCGGCAACGCATTCGCGAGCCCTCTGGCATTGAGAGTGTCCATGGGCGGCGGTATCACTTAACATCAGGTGAGCCTCCTGCCCGTTTGACCCCCGTTCTATTGAAAAAAAAATTAATGTTATTATTTTTATTTTGTTTCAAAACAAACCCTTGTATGCCAATTTCCATAATAACAGAATATGAATTAGAATAGTTATGACAAAAATAACATGATTATATTATTTTGAAATGGCTGCCCTGTAAAGTTTACTATTTGTCAGATTCGTCACTATAATAATAATTTATTTATTGCAAGAATATGGTACAAAAATGTGTAAGGTGGTACAATCGTAAGTTCGCATATTCTGCCATACACAATGGCGCGCAAATTTGTCTTAAGGAATTTTACATTATGTATTGGTCAAAGTCAATTCTTATATCGTGCCCGTAGAGCGAAAACTCATTAAGTCGAAAAATTGCCATATCGAGTTAACAATGCCAATAAAACTATTTTTTTTTCTCTATTTAACTGTCTAACCGTCAATTTTGTAGGTATACTAGTTTCCGATTTACAAAAAGTGAAAAATAAATAAATCGATTCTTTGGTCATAAGAGAAATAACTAAATCATGTTAACTATTTTTTATTTATCAAAAACTTACATTGCTTATAGAATAAAAGATTTAGTTACTTTTATAGTAACATTTTTAATCCATAGGAAGTGTAGAAGATATTTTATATAAAAGTAGTTAGATTTTATACTATTATAAAACAAAATGCCTTTTAACTATTAAGTTAAAAAAAAGGTTTATGTATATTTTGTATATCTACCAGTTAGTCGTAAATTACCCAACTCAAGTTATTTATCATAAAAATAAACTCGATCTGAGTGAAAAATCACTAACTAGGGGCGAATATTTATTAGTTATACATAACTACATCGGATATTCTACAGAGAACAAATAACTAATTTGTTTTTTTTTTTGGTTTTCTCAGTAATAACTTAATCATACTTTGGCATCGTTTTAACTTAATTTGATTTCCTTCAAAATGAAACTAAAAACTTTAAAATATGTCATGAAAGTTATGGAAATTTATATATTTCAAAACTTTAACCCTCATTATCTCGAAACAGGTTTTTTGGACTTAACGAGTTTTCGCTCTACGGGGACGATATTATCTGTATCGTACATATCATTGATATACAAAAACCCAAGATGCACAATCAACGTCTAAAAAACGTCCTCAAAAAATGAGCGCAACATTCTAAATTGCGCTCATTTCAAATAGTCTCGCGTCTATAAGTGGAGTCGATGTTATTTATTTGTGTTTTTTTTATAAATAAATTTATGTACTCTTGAACTTTTTTGTGTGTAGTTTTTGACAAATATATTTACGCTATATAAAGTGTGGGTCAGGAGGTAGCCAATTTAACATTTTTTTTAATTTAAAGAAAAAACTTTTTAACCGGATTAATGTTATGTATTATTATAAATTTACAACTATTTAACATCCAACACCTTTTGTCTTCAGTCACCGTGACCACTCACGCTGTAAAGCACCCGAAAAGTCGGATAAATTTAAAATTATGTTAAATAGTTGTAAATAAAAAAGTCATGTTCGACTCCACTCAATACCTTGTCCTACCGACCACGGTCGGTCGTAAAATTTTATTGCTTTAAGTACGTATACACTGCGTTGTAATAACAACTTTAAGCAATTCGCGTAAGGTTGATTTTGCAATAATATATGCTTGTAACATATACTGTTATGGACAGAAATAGTGTTTCGGGACACTTTCGAGCGTTACTTTTATTCGAGACTGTGCATCTTGGGTTTTTTGTATATCAATGGGTACATATCATACTTTATTAAATTTATATCAACTACAGTGCAACAACACATTCTACGACGAATAATTTCGTGAGCAAATACAGATTAGAATTCAATATGTTTAGTGACACAAGTTTTTGATGTGAAACATCTATAGCCGTACGTAAAACCGATTTTTGACGTGGCGACGCATGCAGTGGCGACGCCACGCTATATGATGGTATATATATACAGTCTAGATGCAGTAGTGTGTACGGTGTGTGTATTTCGAAGTCACTGATTAAACGAATTACGTAGTCACGATTTGAAATAAATTCGTAAATTTTTAATGAAAATAAATGTTTATTCAATAAATAGTCATCGTTATCTGGAAAAAAATCGTAATATTTTCATATTTAGTTCCTATCATAATCTGTTCTTTTCTGCATATTAGTTTTACAAAATAATGTCGATGTTTCACATCTGCCAGGCGTCCTGTGACGGCTCACATTTTTTTAAACACTAACATCTTTTTAATGAAAACGTTTTTATAAGTATTTTTTCTATAATATTCTAGATTTATTAGATGCTTATAGCCAAGTATTCGACAAATAAAGTTGCGTTCTATTTACAGTATAGCGGTATACGACTTGGGCGGTGGAACATTCGATATCTCGGTACTGGAGATTCAAAAGGGTGTGTTTGAAGTGAAGTCCACGAATGGTGACACTCTTCTCGGTGGAGAGGACTTCGATAATGTCATTGTCAACTTCTTGGTTGATGAGTTTAAGCGAGACGTGAGTATATCATAGACAATAGAGTAAAATGTAATAAATAAGATTAATTTTAGAATGGAAGTAAAAAAGTCAAAATCATTTATGCATTTAGGTAACACAATGTATACTTATTAATAATAAAGAAATATACATTAAATGCTTCTAATTTTACATTTACTGCCAGTTCTCAAATCAAGGGCGTAGAACGGGCGAAAAGAACTGGCAATAAACTCTCAGCCACTCTTTTTAATCGCCATCTTTTTTGTTTTACAAAATGTTTGTAAGGAGCTGCAACCATTACACCATGTCTCATGTGACATTTTAAGTAATTAATAATAATAAGATAAATCAAAAACAAAAGATTTGTCCTCTATCAGCTGTAGGCATGGTGTAATTAGAGCACGCACTTACATTCTCGTGGGAACAACACGCAAATACATAGTCGAAATAACTAACTTCACCGCATAAATTCAAGTTCGACCAGTCACCATAAGTAACACCCGTTCACGAGTGTGACATATTATGTATATATTATCATGTTCGATCAATCCCCTATCATATAATTCACACTGTGGTATAATTTTTGACATATATAACAAATAATAAACTAATGCATCGTCGATCACTGCTTGTACTCATGTGCAAATGGTTTTGCAGCGATGCAAGAATAATTCGCAGCACCAGCTGGTCTAGACTCTCTGGTCTAGCGCCTTCCTAGATACTGCGATACAGATTTAAATATTCCAATAATTTTGACGCATATATTATGACCGGTAGTATGGGTCTTATGTAAGATCGTTTTCTACGAATATACATTGATAAATTTGTTCATGCTGTGTAGTAGAATTTATATATCACTCAAAATTAGGAATTTAAAACTCCACGGGCGACTCATTGGTCTAGTGGTTAGTACCCTTGACTGCGAGTCCATGGGTCCCGGGTTCGATCCCCGGCTGAGACGAACATCGATGTGATGACCATTTGGTGTTATGTTTAGGTCTTGGGTGTTTAAATATGTATTTATATGTCTATCTATGTATAATATGTATGTATATCCGTTGCTTAGTACCTAGTACCCATAACACAAGCTTCACCAGCTTAGCATGGGATTAGGTCAATTGGGGTGAATTGTCTTAAAAAAAAATCTTATTTCGGCAGCTTGTAGCAATATTTAGATTAGCTATGTTCATCTATTATTCTGACTTCTTGTAGATATTTGGTTTAACTAATAAGTTTTTATAGTCATTCGTTTTAGTGTAAGCATTTTAACCGCCTTCATTTGAATTTATGAATTAACACACAAAAAATAATGACACCGAGACTGGACATTTGGTTGATAATAATAATAGTAAAAACAGAAATTATTAACTACATAGTATCTTTTTGTACTGTAACTATTAGAGAATTATCACTGAATAAATTCAAAGCCCTCGTTAAACTTTCCCTATCTCCTAATCCTTGGGATTGATTTGCTCCAGTTCAAACAATTTGTATGACTCAAAACTTAGCGATTTTAAAGAGTGGCGGAAAGTTTATTGCCAGTTCTTGCCCCCTCTACGCCCTTAACTTGTGAACTGATAGTAAATTTACAATTAATTTAACTTGTTTTTTGACGTTCATATGTGTACTTGTTTATCTATATGAATAAAGTTATTTTGAGTTTGAAAGGTCGATTAGGAACTTTTCCAGGATATATCAAATATTGTTATTTTACTTTAGTGATTGTTTCCTTTAGGTCCAAAAAAGTACATTGTATCTTTCCATTTTTCGTCATCGTTTCTTGAAGTAGGGCGAATGGAAAAAATATATGGTGGAGTTGAGTAGTTTATGTATCCATTTTGAAAGATCGATACACGATTTAAATATCTTCGCTCGTTTAAAAAAAAATCAAACAGCCAATTTTTGACACTTTGTATTCATTTTATTACGAAAATGTATATAGAACATGATTTTAAAATTTACACAATATATTTTATCGCAAGCCAAGTAATCCATTTCAGATTTTTTTTTAGAAAATTACATTAATTTAATGTTTTACATAACTAATTGTTATTACGGGCCGGCGCGCCTCAGTGCTCCAGCTCTCCACTGCGCCCTGCAGTCCACCCCGAGACACTAACACAGCAATTTGTTCTGGGATAGGGCCTTAATAAAAAGATCCTAAAATGTTTCCAATTAATTTTTTAATGCATTTGCAGCAAGGCATCGATATCCGCAAAGACGCGATGGCCATGCAGCGGCTTAAGGAGGCAGCTGAAAAGGCGAAGATTGAATTGTCTGGCTCAGTACAGACTGATATCAACTTGCCATATTTGACCATGGACGCCTCTGGACCTAAGCACATGAATCTTAAGGTTAGTTTTGGTTAAGGGAAATGTTTTTGAGTGTACCCTCAGTTTTTTTAACATTTTGTGTCTACCTACATTTTTCATGGGTTAATGAAAGTTTCATGTTTCAATGTATACTGTGGTTGTTAATATATTACTGTACATTAATTAAACTGGAATACCCCTATAGATTTGAAATTGCACATACATTTTATTTATTTATATATTCATCTATTTTTCATTGAATCACAAATGGACAAAAAGATATGTAAGAATATCTTAGTTAAAACTTTAGAAACCTTAGTTTTTATGAATCTAAATGAAAATAAAATAAAAAAGATTATTTATTGGTTGACTATACAACCTATACAAAATGTTTTTTTTTATTCTGTTAAGTATGGCCTTTAAATAAATAATTAAATAGATGGCGTTGTACCACCTTTGCATGTAAACACGAAAACAAATGTCAAGTTTTTGTTGTTATCATACTGCGATGAATTACGCGTTATTGTTAATATTATTATCGACTATCAGGTACTTAGGGAGCGTTCAAGTATTACGTAACGCAATTTTCGGAGATTATTGACCCCCGTAACGTTTTACAAAAGGACACAAACCCCCCCCCATCCCTCCCAAAATTCGTTACGTAATACTTGAACGCTCCCTTACCACATAATTGTAACTTAAAGAGTCACTGGGTGGTCACAAAACGTTTTACTATTGGGTACAGAAAAACGTTACGGCGCGTTACATGGGGGAGGGGGTTAAGAATCTCCAAAAATTGCGTGACGTAATACTTTAACCCTCCCTATACTCTCCACAGTCAAAGACAGGCAAAGACAATAAGCATTCTACGTCAACGTCCATTTGACTAATCTGACCGTTTAGTGTCAGGTGACTGATGCATGAAAAATAATGGGTATTTTTTAATTATGAATTGTTTGATTAATAATTATTGGTTATACGTTATTTTACTTCTAAAAACTTTTAAAGTTTTACACACTACCATCAATAAGAAATTTTTTGTGTCAAAAGTAGGGGGTAAGATAGTAATTGGAGAATTTCATTAAAAATATTTGTTTGCACCAAGTATTACACATTTCAGTTCACAAAGCTTTAATGGTTGATATTGGTGCTAAATTATTGCATAGTAAAACCATCTGTTGTTTTTCTATAGACAACGGATCAATATGTCTTTGTTACATTTTGTATTGATCATGTATTATTTTATAAGAAGTCATCTAAAATAGAAATAAAAAGCATGCTGACAACGATCACTAGCCCACACTTTATATTAGGACCTTACTTCACCTGGAAATTTATCTAGAGCTCTGGGTTATACTATTGTATGTATATTTGTGTGATTGGAATTTTTCCAATTCAATACTCTTTTTAATTCCGTAGAATTCCGACAGCTATCAAATTACAGAATTTTATTTATTAGCTGAGATTACAAACCTTTTTGGCCGGGCACATTTTTCAATTTCAATATGAGTCTGAACATCTGAGATAAGTCCATTTTATTAAGTGCGGTGCTCCACATTAAAATTGGTTTTACGGCGAGTGATAATTTAAGTAAAGATAATATTTTTTAAGGTTTACTAAACCTGGAATTAGTAGGCAGTGATACCAGCTAATGAATAAAATAAAGTAATTAAAGTAAATTCGATATATTGTTCGTAATGTTGAAATATTTGTTATTTTCGTATTAGGTCACATGAGTAAGTAAATATTAAGATTTACCTTTTTGTAGGTAAAACGTAAAGCATAGCATTTTATTTTTTATTGCCCTCAAATGGGTTAAATTTGTCCCTTTTTCGGTGGAGAACTTTTTTATTAGTAACACTAATGAAATGTCACAATTTTACAGAATGAAAAATCAGAGATTAGGATAGTTTATATGAATGTAATATGATATCATTTAATAATAATATAGCCTTTATATTCTGAAGGTTTCTTCTGTAATATATTTTCACTACATCTTTGGTGTGCCTCTTGGAAAAGGCCTCTTCTAACCCTTTCCACTCTTCTCTATTCTTTGTGACTCTTCTTCAGTTGTAGCATGCTATTAGTATGAGTTCGTCCTCCCATCTTTTGGAATTCTGGGATACCATTCCGTCAATATTTTGCTCCATTTTTCATGGTTGTACCGTAGCATATGACCCGACCATCTCCATTTCATTTGTTCTATCGTAGTGAGAATGTAACACCTGTTCTAAGCTCTTACTTCTGTGTAAAAAAAAAAATCATAAATCATTTAATCATATAGGTAACACATTGTACACTTATGACTTGTCAGTAAAGAAATACATATTAATGCTTCTTATTTTACATTTAGTGCCAGTTCTCAAATCAAGAGCGTAGAACGGAAGAGAAGAACTGGCAATAAACTCTCTGCCACCCTTTTTAATTGCCATGTTTTTTTTTACACAACGTTTGTAAGGAGCTGCAACCATTAAACCATGTTCCACATGACATCTTAAGTAATTAATTATCGTTGCTTGTCTAGTTTTCTTATCCATTTAGTTAAACAGAAATTAATGAAATTTTAATCTACATATTTCAGATGACCCGTTCGAAGCTCGAGTCCCTAGTAGGAGATCTAATTAAGCGGACAATTGCGCCTTGCCAGCGAGCTCTGCAAGACGGTGAGGTCTCTCGCACTGATGTCGGAGAAGTCCTACTCGTCGGAGGAATGACAAGAATGCCCAAGGTAAGACAAAAATTTAGACTAGGTGTTCTTGCTATCTCTTTTTATTTGTTACAAGAAAGAGGTGTAACACTACACTGATCAAATACTGCTATGTAAATCCTATGACTTCTTAAAATGGTACTCAAATTTGATTGTTATTTAATAAGCTGGTTGAAACAGAATGCATATTCAAATTGAAAATGCTTTTAAAGTATGCTATTTTCGTATCACACACACAACAAAGCATCTGTTCTCTGTTTTTAACTGACTTCATAGGGGCCGTTCAAGTATTACGTAATCACTATGGGGGGTCTTTGATTTTCTTATTTGGTGATTACGTCATCATTCATTCATCAATCATTTTCGAGGATTCTTACAAAAATTTATGTACTATTCTTTTTGAGAGTTTTGCTTTGGCGGTATTTGGGGGGTAATAAATTGCAGTAAATCTGCTTACGTAATAGCTTATGGAGTAAGTCACATACCAACGAAACTATTATTTTCTTTCTAAGCACTCTAGCACAAGCTTCGGCCAACTCTATAGTTGGTTGGGCGAGGTCATTGACCGGGTGCAATATTAAATTGGGGACATATTCACTGGCTGTACTAAGTGTACATTCAGATTATAATCTTACATACATTTAAAAATAGCAAAATGTTGATATGTCTGAGCAATAAATAGCGTTTACTGACAGCTGTCAACAAAACAAAGTCAATACTAGTAGTTTATTTGATTTACCAATATTGCAAGATTAAGTTGTGAACTGTCAATTTGCGATTAATCAAAAAGTCTTAATAAGCTCTGTGACATTAATGACAGTGACAACTGACAGTTACGCAACTTCACTGACATTTATAATTCAATTGACGCATATGACACACCTCTCTTAAATAACATGTAAAGGTGTTTAGTTAAAGCCAAAAAGACGTTAGGAACAGAATTAATGAATAATATGATTATTTGATTAATCTCTGAATATATTTTCATTGTTCTTTACGAATTTTATATTGTTATTAGCACAATCTGTCAGACCAGTGTCAATATATCTTGAAAAATTGAAATGTCAGACTGACAGACTTAGCTCTCAAATACAACTAACAACATCTAATAGAAATCCAACTAAAAGCTATTTATTTTTATTCCTTGCAACGCTCCCTAGCGTTCAAGTATTACGTAACGCAATTTTTGGAGATTATTAACCCCCCCTCCCCCACGTATCTCGCCGTAACGTTTTTCAGTACCCTAGTACAGTACTGTACTCAAGTATAGTAAAACGTTTCGTGACCACCTTGTGTCTCTTTAGTTACTATTATGTGGTGTAAGTCGAAAATAATATTAACAATAACGCGTAATTCAATCCCCGCCCCGCATCGTAACGTTTTACAAAAGGACAAAAAAAAACGCGTTACGTAATACTTGAACGCTTCCTTATCAATTACAGTTTTAATTATCGAACGGCTCTGATTGCTAGGTATCTTAAATGATATTATATTAATAGTACAGGTAACAAAACCCATTGTATCACATTTATTTATTTAAGAACTGTATTTTCTAGATACATTACATACATTGTCTTATTAAGATATTATTAAGTTAGCCTGCATGACTTCAAATTATTCCCCTTATAATGGTTAATTTTTATTAACTGGCAATACTAATATACGTGACAGCGACGCTCTTACGAATGGTCAAGAAAAATATGTGGCTCTGTACAAGCTTAACCAAAGAATTTAGTTCAAATCGTTTAAAACAATGATTGAGCCATATCAAAACAATTTTGCCAATTATTTTATTTTTTAATATTGCATTCACTTATGTCTCATTCACAAACATCCAGGTCCAACAAACAGTCCAAGAGATCTTCGGCAGAGCACCATCAAGAGCAGTCAATCCCGATGAGGCGGTGGCCGTCGGTGCAGCTGTTCAGGGTGGAGTTTTGGCTGGTGACGTCACAGACATTCTCCTGCTTGATGTCACTCCCCTGTCGCTCGGTATCGAAACCCTGGGTGGAGTTTTCACTAAGTTAATCACAAGGAACACTACAATCCCGACCAAGAAGAGCCAGGTGTTCTCTACAGGTGAGAATATTTACGGAAATCGCATGTCACGCCCCTGTCACTTACTTTGATAGAGCTTCGAGGGTTGTAAATGTCAAAATAAAATGAACAAATAAACTTAGGCCGGGAGATGGTGACACAAAATAGTGGGTGATTTGTACCAGTATGGCGGTTCTTCAGGGGTCTTATTACGTAATTATAATAAGAATTTTGATGGTCATAGCGCTGGGACCGGCAGCCTAGTGTGCCTTAGTCGAACTCATCGGATTAATAAGGCCGTGTCTCCACTGCTCCGGTCCGGCAAACGTTAATTACCGATCCGATTTAGAAACTCACAACAGTACTTACGTGCTTCTCCACTACTCCGGCATCCGGTTTTTAACGATCCGATAACTTGCTAGATCGGAACGCGGTGTTTTATCGGTCCAAGTATATCCAAGTATCCAAGAGGTTATAAGTTATTATTCACAGGTTTATTTATAGTTTGTTTAATTTGAAAGAATCTGGATAACCTGGACCAAACCAAATTATGTTGCTATTTATTTATATTTTTATACCATAGTATTTGTGAACTATTTATTAAGTAGGTTATAATATTTCAAGATACTGCAATATAAATAAAGTAATAAACTTGCCAGGGCAATAAAATATTCAGAATTTAGAACGTTTTATTAATAAAATAAAGTAGGTATATGGGTTTTTGCGACGGGGTGACTTATTTTTAGTGATCGATTATTGTCGGATCGGATATAGTGGAGAAGCACAATCCGGCCTTCCGTAAATTTTCTCATGACTCATTCCGGTATCCGACGCCGGACCGGAGCAGTGGAGAAAGGGCCTGAGGGTGTCAAACGATTTGTTCCACAAAAATTATAGTATTTTTCGATAGTCAATAAAAAAATAAGAGCGGCAGTGTCATGCCATACTTCTCCGGTGTGACTTACAGCCCGGCATACCGATATAATAATAATAAAAACCTAACTGTTTTTATTATTATGTTTTATGCATACATTTGCACGACTATTTTAATATAGCGGTTTTGTTAATATTTCATTTTTATTTAGATTTCTTATTATTATTAAAATTGCATTGTCGATCACTGCTTGTACTTATGTGCAAATGGTTTTGCAGCGATGCAAGAATAATTCGCAGCACCAGCTGGTCTAGACTCTCTGGTCTAGCGCCTTCCTAGATACTGCGATACAAATTTTAATTAAAATTTCCTAATGTTTCTTAAATGATAATATCATTGCTGTAAACACATGACTATGAGAGATATTTATCTTTGGCGTTGCGTAGAGCTGTGGGGTCACTCTGCATCTTCTAACGCATTTACCATGGAGAGTGTTCAGAGCTGTTTGGATTAATACCTGAGCTGAGTTTCATCATCGGACATCGAGGCAGAATGCGAAATTCCACCCGTATCATCTCGACGTCCGTCGTTCCACAACTATGTGGAACTAGCTGCCCACTGAAGTATTTCCGAACCAATTCAACTTAGGGTCCTTCAACAGCGTACCAATTCTTAAAAGACCGGTAAGGGAGCGTTCAAGTATTACGTAACGAATTGGGGAGGGGGGGGTCCTTTTGTAAAACGTTACGATACGGGACGGGGATTGAATTACGCGTTATTGTTAATATTATTTTCGACTTTCCAGTACTTTACACCACGTAATGGTAACTTTTAGGTATAAAGAGTCACTGGGTGGTTACGAAACGTTTTACTATTGGGTACAGAAAAACGTTACGGCGCGTTACATGGGGTGTCAATAATCTCCAAAAAATTCTGTGACGTAATACTTGAACGCTCCCTATCGCACTCGCGAGCCCTCTGGCACTGAGGGTGTCCATGGGCAGGGCGGTATCACTTACCATCAAGTGAGCCTCCTACCCGTTTGCCCTCTGTTCTATAAAAAATGTTTATGTAATACCAACTAGTATATATTCTACTTGTAAAATTGAAATTTTCAGCTGCTGATGGCCAGACCCAAGTGGAAATCAAAGTGCACCAGGGTGAACGTGAAATGGCAACGGACAACAAATTACTCGGACAATTTTCGCTCGTGGGAATTCCCCCCGCACCCAGGGGAGTCCCACAAATCGAAGTGACATTTGACATTGACGCTAACGGCATCGTACACGTATCGGCAAGAGATAAGGGCACTGGAAAGGAACAACAAAGTGAGTATTACGCTATTAATATATAAACAATTCAGTGTTAACTCTTTATAGCGTCATTTGTTATAATGTTAAACTCTATATAACGTAAAACGGGTTTGAAATTGTTTAGTTAAACACAAATTCCATACATTAATTCACTCTTTATAACGCAACCCCCATTCTCTATTACGAAAGAATATTTTCATATTTAGACAACACAATGTGTAATAGTTTTTATAATCAGCTTTCAAAACTAACATTTTGAGGTGCCGAAATTTCTAAGACACCTGATCAATATTAAGATTTACCTTTTTGTAGGTATAACATAAAAAGTACGTAGCATTTTATATTATTCCCCTTAAATGGGTGAAATTTGTGCTTTTTTGGTGGAGAACTTTTATAGTAGCAACTATGAAATGTCAGAATTCTACGGAATAAAAAAATCACAGTATAGTGTAATGCATCGTCGATCACTGCTTGTACTCATGTGCAAATGGTTTTGCAGCGATGCAAGAATAATTCGCAGCACCAGCTGGTCTAGACTCTCTGGTCTAGCGCCTTCCTAGATACTGCGATACAGATTTAGAATAAAAAAAAACATTGTACTAAAAAATTAGCAAATTTTGAACAATACTTTACACATACCTATTTTATAAAGAGGATTTTGTTTTTGATAGATCAACTTAAGTTTAGTGTTCCAAACTTAAGTTACAGCTGTTCAAGTATTTGGTGATTACGTCACCAGTAATTATTTACTATTTTACACATATTACCCACACATTGTCTATGCTTGAAAAGGAAATGCATTTTCGAGGATTTCACAAAAAAAATTAGGGGAAAATTAGAGGGGGGGATAATTTGCAGTAATTCTACTTAATACTGGAACGGGCCCCTAAGAGTAATTGTATATTATTAACTGGTTATGAAGTTCTAGAAGTCAGGGTCAGTTACAACCACAATACCCACAATTTTTGTATTTTTTTTTATTATTGTTATTTTTTGTTTCGTTAGTGACTAATGTTATGTCTATGTGTAGATGTGCAGTCTACTCCAATTTTAGAATTACACGATAGAGACAAAAATAAAAAAATACTAAAATTTGATTTGAATAAATTTCCAGTCGTCATCCAATCATCGGGCGGTCTTTCAAAGGACGAGATCGAGAACATGGTGAAGGCGGCGGAACAGTTCGCCACTGCTGACAAAGCCAGGCGCGAAAGAGTGGAAGTCTCCAACCAGGCTGAGGGTGTACTACACGATACGGAGACCAAGATGGACGAATACAAGGACCAGTTGCCGCAGGATGAGGTATGTTTAAAATTATTTAGAAATCCAATAAGCCTATAGGGTTTGCTTAACATGGTACAATTGTAAACTTGGATATATTGCAAGAAAGATCTTTCGCGTGTTGCGAAATGGTAGCCCCCTGACGGAAAAAATTAAGACCATAAGTTGTAACCACACTTTTTGCTATAGTTGTAAGCCGCCTGTCTCTTTCTCTCTCTCACACACACACACACCCTCTCTCTCTCACACACACACACACACCCTCTCTCTCTCACACACACAAACCCTCACTCTCATAGAAAGCAATCAAGTTATTTTCGTTTCGTCTTACTATTTCGCATTGAACAGTGTGGTGTCGCGACGATTATTTTTGTTGAGTGCATACAGGTTTTTTGTACATAAAAAAATAATAACAATAATTAATCCTGACCTTTTATATTATGAAAAAGAATGATTTTAATGAAATAAAAAAAATTATTATATTAGATATATATATATTTACCTTCCCCATGAATTATTCTATATTGGTTAAAACTGCAATAAATTCCGTGCAGTAGTTTTTGAGTTAGACATTTTTTTTTATAAAATTTTGTATAGAAAGTCGACTAAGTCGGCCTATATATATTTTGTTAACATAAAAGTTTAATTTTACTTTTAAATTACTTCCTTTCACATTATTCGGGAGCGTTCAAGTATTACGTAACGTATTTGGGGGGGGGTTTATAAACCGTTACGATGTGGGGCGGGAATTAAATTACGCGTTATTGTTAATATTTTTTTCGCCTTACACAACTTAACTAAAGAGTCATTAGGTGGTCACGAAAAATTTTACCTATACTTGGGTACTGAAAAACGTTATGGCGAATAACATGGGGGGGGGGAGTCAATAATCTCCAAAAATTGTGTTACGTAATACTTGAACGCTCCCTTATATACATACATAATCTAATCAATATACAGATTTTATTTACAACGAATATACATCTAATACATTTTTAAATTCTTAACATCATAAGTAGAATGTCCGACATTAGTTAATTTAAAAATACTAGGTATTGAAAAGTTCTTGATTTCAAGTAGGTGATCCAGGATTTTTTTTAAATCGATCCAGGACTTTGTAGCTTTATTATTATAAATTGTTAAAAATAAAAACAAAAATTTAAAATGCAAATCTTTCTTCTATAATATTAGAGACAAAATTTCGTAGAACTTCCCTATACACAACCAGTTAGTTAGTTTTCTATTGTATTAGTATTAAGTTACTGTAAAAATAGGAAATAAATAAATAAACATTCGACGTAGTTTTGTTTTGTGGCAACAAAATAATTTTATGTTTTGGAGTTCCGGGATAGGCCAACATTCAATTGCCCATGGGTAAAACATTCTTTTAGTAGATATTGATACGTTCTATAAGACTGTACAATTTTTTTCTTCTATCATCAATATTTTCCACAGCGCACGCGATGACAGACTTTTTGTGGATAATTTTTTGACAGCTTGGGTTATATTATTGCATTTTTATCTCTATTTTTTTTAAAGGTGAAAGAATGTTTGAAATCGGTCCTAGTAGTTTTTGTGTGAAAACTTTAAAGTCATTATCAAGCATAAATACTTTTTTATTGAAGTCAATCATATATCTTTCATCGTTGAAGCAGTGTTTTTAATAGTAGTTTATGCAACTGTCATATAATAGAGGGTTTTAATACCTAATTATATGCAGTTGCATTCACTACTTTATTTAGTCTCATGGCTATAGGTTTCCAAGTCATAAAGTCTTGGTAATTTGTCGTACGCTTTTCTTGATTTTTCTGGCAAAAGACTATTCGTCAGTTTCGTAGCTGTTTCTAGAATGTCAATTTTCATCGGTATCGTCGGTGTTGCTTGATATTTTTGCTAGAAATGTTTTTTTCAACTCAAATACTCAAATTCCGGTCTATTAGCTCGGAACCAGCGAGTTGCGCGCGCAGCGCGCTCACCGCAGGTAATGTGTACTTAAATTGAATTGAAACCTCCTTGGGACACATTGTACTTTAATAATAAAAAAATTATTTAAAAGCATTGTTTTGTTAGGAGAATAATGCTTTAATTTAATTTTTTTAAAGAAGTATGTATATATATAAAATATGCCATTAAAAGTCTGTATTTCTTCATTTCATAATTAGAATATTACCAAATGAGATAATATAAAATACAGTAGTATAATGGTGATAATGGTATAGTAGAGATAATGGTGAATTTTTGATTTTAAGTTACAATGTTATGCATCCAATCTAAGCCGTTGTCATTTCTATGATATTGGTAAAAATGGATGCAAGACTATCTGAGGTTTATTATATCCTCCTTCTTGTAGAAGTTAGGTAATGTAACCTCAACAATATTATGGACTTAAAAACAAGAGACAATCAATTTGACATGTTGTTTTTTTTAAATATCTCTATATATATGAAATTCTCGTGTCACAACTTCGTTCCCATACCCCCTCCGAAACGGCTTGACCGATTCTTATGAATTTTGTAATAATATTCAGTAAGTCTGAGAATCGCCTACTATCTATCTTTCAAACCCTCAAGTGATAACGGGTGTCCACCCCAAAAAACTTTTTTTTTATTTTTACTACACACAACCCTTAATTTTAGGGATGCATCGATACGCCTTTTTGCCGATACGATACCGATACCGATACTCTTATAGAAATATCGCCGATACCGATACTAATGCTTATTGAATTCAAATTAAATTAAGGTAAAATATATCAAGTTTGGTTAAAGTTTTTAATTTTTATTATAAAATATAAACAGTCACAAACTTTGAATAAGATTAAAGGTTTAGTAAATAAAATTAAGAATTAAGAGTAATAGTTAAATTAAAATAATATAAATAACTGTTAATAATTAAAATTAACATTGATAGGATTTTTGTAATTCTGTATTTTATTTAATTTGGTATTGAAAAAATACTACGCGCGATAGCAGTTAAAAACCAACTAGTGTCTAGCGAAATGGAATACGCGGGGACTAAGCGGGTGTGAGGGGCAATAGATAGTCCGTGCCTCGTTTCCCACGCCCCAGATCAAACAAGATGCGCGTTTATATTACTTTTTTTAAGGCGCGAAATTTGAAAAGTATCGTTGCATCGCCAATTAAAATAACGCCGATACCGATATATCGGAAAACCCAAAGTATCGCCGATATATCGGTATCGGATGCATCCCTACTTCATTTTCAAAGCGCACAACCATTATGTGGAGCTCACTCCACCGATAAAGTGACAAAAATACATATATCACGAACAACATATCAAATAAACTTTACTTTATTTTACTAATGACAGGTTTAGTAAAGCTCTTAAAAAAATTAAATGTTATCTTTACTTGTGCGTTTTTTACTGTTTGTATTGAAAAGGGACGAAAATTTTTCACTCGCCGTAAAACCACTTTTAATGTGGAGCACCGCACTTAATAAAAAAAGGATACATTCACTAAAAAATAAAATGTATGTAAGACTCAGATGTTCAGACTCGTATTGAAATTGAAAAATGTGCCCGGCCAAAAAGGTTTGCCATCTCTGGCATGTCATAATGATAGCTGTCGTAATTCTACGGAATTAAAAATCAGAGTATAGAGAAAACATATCAGAAGGGTTGTAGCACTCTTGGTCCATATAAAACTTTTGTAGGAGTTAATTTAATTTTTAATGTTTCAGTGTGAGAAATTGCGCGTGGAGATGGGCAAGCTCCGTGAATTGCTCGCGCAGAAGGACAGCGCGGAGCCCGAAGCCATTCGTACGGCCACCAACACACTGCAGCAGGCCAGCTTGAAGCTCTTCGAGCAGGCTTACAAGAAGGTTAGTTTCATTATAGCATTATGGATTATATTTTGAAGAGCTAAGAATTAAGTGCTTTTTCAAGTACAATTTAATTATAATACAACGATAACTTTAAACATAGATGAAAAGTTATAAACAATTCAAAAGTTCGACTTTTTGAGTCTCTCAGCCATCGTGATCAGCGAAACGTCGAATTATGTATGAATTTTACTAAATTTGTTGAAGAAATCTTATTTAAATTTCGTCGCGTCGAAGTGATATTCAATGTATGTACCCGTATGTCCAAAACATATTGGATTTGATCGAAAGATATATATCTACACATTTAAAACTGTTTTTGGAGTGAAACTCCTTTAGAATCGTTTTGATTTCAAACCGGATGCGACGTAAAAAAGAGACAGACACATAAATTTAACATTTAAATATAATTATTGAAGTGAAAACTTCTTTAGCGGCGTTGTACACTTTTTTTGGAATGGGCAAAAAATGTTAAACTCGCGTCAGGACACGTGACCTGATCGTAAATTCGTAAGACGGATGGAGAGTAGACAGCTGGCGCGGCGTATTTAATTATAAATTGTCATGTTTGTGTACGATAGCGCAATAAATAAATATTGTATTCTACCACATAAATGATAGTACTTTTATACTGATAAATAAAGCAATTCGTGCCAAATGATTCCCTAACCATTCCAAAATATCAAAAATGCACAAGGTTAATATTCAAGTTTTCACTTCTGCCGGCACTCCCGGAGTGCAACCCGTCGTTTTTTTGACGTGACAACGTCTTATAATTCGATGGAGCCGGCTGCACGCACGAAAAAACATTACTCATGCGGCGTTACCTCGCTCTGAGGCGTTCCATTTAAGGCTTGAAGTGCAAGCGAGAGCGCGGAACGAGCGACAAAGAGCGTTCGCTCGTTAAAAAATTGAGATAATTGTATTATTATTGCGTATAAATAAATGTAACTTGATCAATTCAATTGTGATTTCCATTTAGCTCCTTTTCTATATCCATACAAAATATCTATCAAACAAATAAAATAAACATTTTCTTTTAAAAATGCAACCATTCCATCAGTATTTTCTTATGACGTTGTCACGTTCAACTATCGTCAGTAAACCGACTTTACAGACAACAAAGTTTATTTTTAAAGAAAAAAGTCTTATTTACATATTAGTAATTATAAAAACATTGTTTTCGACCACGTGTGAATTGCACACAAGTTTTTTTTTAAACGCACGTTTTTGAGCCAACGCATTTCATTAAATGTATTGGTCAAGCAAATGTGCGAGATTGATGGAGGAAAGTTATCATCCTCACTTGCGAATGCGTTTGGGGACGATTTATTCTTCCTACATTTCCATTTCATCATTGGATTTTGGCCATTACAATCATTTGTTCAAGTTTAGAAATAATATAACTAATAGACATACTTTTATATACAAAATTGTAATGGGGAATGTTCAAGTATTACGTAATCACTATTGGGGGAGACCCCCTCCCTTTTTTTTTATTTATTTGGTCAACAACCCCCCCAATGTAACGCGCCGTAACGTTATTCTGTTTTATAAAAGGACCCCCCAAATTCGTTACGTAATATTTGAACGCTCCCTTATTTACTTTTTTACACATATTACCTCCACATTGTCTATGCTTGAAGACGAAATGCATTTTCGAGGATTCCTATAGAAAATTAATACATTTATGTTCTAATTTTTAATTTTTGAGCGATTTTCTTACTTTGGCTGACTAGAGGAGGGGGGGATAAACTGTAATAAATCTGCTTACGTAATACTTGAACGATAACAAGCGATATATATACTATGTCTCTATAATTAGTAAAAAAGACATTACCGAATTTTTTATGTTTCCTTCTACAGATGGCGGCAGAGAGAGACAGCCAGCAATCCTCCCAACAATCCACCCAACAGACTGAGCAGACAGACGATAAGAAAGAAGAGAAGAAGAATTAAAAACGCACCACTTACACTAAGGCACACCGCACACAGACTAGAGTGATAAGTTTTTTTGCAAAAAGTGTATATGTATTGTGCTTTGTTATTTTTGGTACTTGCAAGCTAAAGAGAATATTTCAAGAACTGATGTTTCATTTTTAGTTAGTTAGTTTTTTATATGCATTTTCGTTACAGGTAAAATCTGCAATATTTATTACAAGCTTAGTTGATATAAATTTTTATTCATTGAAGTATTGTGTTCTGGCAACATTTACGATTTTTATTATTGTTGCTATCTCTATAATACTTTCGCATTTAAAGTTTGCAAAAATATAATATATAATAAGCTTGTGTGCGGTGAGCTTTTCCAACGTACATTAGTTGTATATATTAGTGATGCCAAAAACTTTCCGTTATTCAATTTTGGTATAATATTATTTTAGTTATTTTTATTAATAACTTTGGGCAATGGTCGTATTCACTTTAAAACATAAATAAAATTTCCTTTATGTCAATAAATTATAGAAGTTCTACTGTCACTGATTTACAGTACTCGACTGTCTCCTTCTAGCACAGTGTTAATACAATTTACCAGACAGAGATGGAAAAGTACATTAAGAAGTGATTGTTTTTATGAATGAAGGGTTTATTGAAGTTATACTTCTTTTAGCGCGTTGAGGTAAAATTATGAGACTAAATTGTCACAAAAAACCGACACCCTGAATATCTGTTCAAACGTCGGTAAAACAGTCTGGGCCGCTAGTTGGCGCTTGCTCTGTTTTATCGACGAGTTGCATTGTCTGTCATGGCGTAGTGTTTATACCAAAATAATGATTTCTATACGAGAAATCCCGTTCCAATGTGATAAAAAACATAGTGTTTATAGTAAAATATCATGATTAGTATATATTATATGGTTTCGATTGGAAGTGACCATTAAAATGGACAAGAAAAGCAATTCGAAGAGGGAAACGTCCCTCTAAAGTGCTCGAAGAAAATTATAACGCCAAAGAAGTATAACTTCTAACGCGTGTACATAAGTACACACACGTTTTTTTAATAAAATGTCTACTATTGCCCAAATATTAGTAAAATTTTGTCTCAACAATAGTTTGAGTAGTGATCGTCTTAGCTTTAGTACCACTTGTAGTTACAACGTTCAAATAAATGTTTTTTTTTTAATTTTTGTTTTCATTCATAAATTTACACAAAACAAGTGTTGCCATAGCCAGAGAAATTTTAATTATTGTTGATTGCTTGTAATTTATAAAAAATATAAGGTATAATCAACTTCACTAAATCATTTTTGTACTGAAATAACAATAAAAAACACTCCTGCGCATCTTTCACCAATAATTTCTAGCTGTTAATTTATTTAAAGGACTGGTATTCTTTAATTTTGGGTGTATTTAAGTATAAGTTTGAATATCAATTTTATATAGATTCACACAAAAACGCGTCTGAAACGGTAAAATGTTTGAAATGGCTTTATAGAATTAAAAAAAAACTGATACATTATATGTCATGTTTATATCACAAGTATTACAATTTTAAATTTTACCATAGATTGTAGAATGCATAGACAATTTGGTTGATATTTGGCTTAGGAGTTAAGCGGCATCATAATTTACTTGTTATTTTTGTAAAAGCAATGTGGGTCTGCGTGGTTGTATGTCCGACTATTAGATTAGTGCAATATATTATTATGAAATTATTCGTTTTTTATTTCATACTCTCAAAGTTGTAGAATTCAAGTACAGTACAGTAAAGTATTGTCACCGACAATAAATTTTCTATGTCCTTGTGTTTACATACATGATAATACAACAATTGACAAGAATTCAAAGTAATATAATTTCCAATCGGTGTAACTGCTACTAGCTGAAACTAGCTACTCGCTAGCAACTAGCTGTTTTCAGACTGAAACAGGTAAATACAGCAAGATCAGCTCAGCCAGAAAAAAGCGCCCCTATCAAAAACAATCTTGCTTACAGTATTTGATTTGCCCCATAGCTTCTATGTAAAAATATATCTCATTAGGTGATCCATGACAACCACTTCCAAAAAGACTGAATGTAGCTGCTGATCACCAGTTACTTCCGAACTTACGACATAGAGGCCTTCAAAGGTCGGTAACGCACTGGCAATTTTGCTGCTATTGTTGGTATTCAGGGACATAATTCTGTTAGCCCCCAGTCGCATAAAAAAACCGTAATTGTTTTTACTAAAAAGGTCATTGATTGGTATATCCCTAAGTGGGCACAATCTTTATTCAACTAGTACCTCAACTTTGATGTCACCTTAATTAGAATATGAAAATATAAGCCATGAGAAATTATTACACTTTTAATTCTGTATGAAAGAGTTTAAGATGTTACATTAGAATATAGACTAGTTGAAAATAAAGATAAGACCTATTCACATTGTTAATTCTTCCGTCTAGCCCCATCTTGTCACCAGTTAAAAACAACAGCAACTACTTAAGTATACCCTGATCAGATAGGTTATAATTTTTATAATAAACAATAATGCTATTAAGATGAAACAAACATTTATAGTGACTTTTTAAAGTGTGTATTCTGAGTTTAAATTAAGATGCCTTAAAAGCAACTGGCCTCTAAATACCGTTTCTGTATCTGACCTAAATATCCTTATCGTTTATGTTTCATTTCAAAAATAATATAATTACTATATTAGGATAGACAGTCAACGAAAAATATGTGTTTTAAAATCATTACCATACTACCATTTCAGCATTATGCAAGTGCCCTAAAATGTATTAAAGACAATATATCGATTTCTTCCATCTTTCAACAAATCTGTAATTTGGTTGTAATTGTGCTTATTTATGAAAAAAATTACTATGATGTGCATAAATTCATAATTGCCGCTTAACCTAAATGCATTAGCTAACTTAACGTTATTTTAGCCAAGGACGAGTAACTTGTGTCTTTTTTTTTGGAGTTAATGGCCTGGTATTTAGACCTTTAGGCCAAGTCTTGAGTATTTGTGAGTCTTTGGTTCGGGTAACACAGATAAGATAATAGTTATAAAAGTGTTACCAGCCTGGGCTAATATGTGATGCATTAAATCTTGACTGGCAATTTTTTCCAACGAACAACTTAACGACAATGTGGTGCAACTTTTTCGGATACAATTTAAAAATAAATAATATTATGTAACATGACATTTTTACTATTTATTAACTTTATAACATAAATTACTTATAATTAACACAATGTGTCATTCTTACACGAAATTATTACTTTTCGTTAGTAAAAGAAAAATCTAATGCATATCAGCTGCAATCACAAGTGGTTTACCTTGAGCATCATCATATCTGTCATTGGAATTACAGTTATATAAAATAAGGACACCATAAGTCAAAATCCCAAGACATAAAAATGAAACCATCAATCCAGCCAATATTCGCGAGTTAAAATATGGCCCGCAATGAATAGCTGGTCCAAAACAGTGTGTATTGTTGCCTCCCGAACTGTTGCGTAAGTAAACATCTGAATTAAATGATTGTAACTGAAAAAAAGGCATTATAATTACAATTGATATCTAATGAAAAAATACAAATATTGTTGCAATACAATTTACCTGATATTGCGATATAATAACAGCACTTCCATCTCTAGTATTAACTATAGTCAGTGGCTCTCCACAAATGTAAGAGTGGTCCCACGGGACAGCCACCCCCAGCTTTGTGTGACCAACTTCTTCACCCCATTCCAAAAGAGCTACTGTTTCTAAAAGGTAAAATACGTGGGTAAATATAAAATGATAATAAAGCCATTTCCACTGAAATATTAAAGTGATAATTAATAAGTATTAAGAAACTTCCTTGACATGTCATTTGCAGCTTTATATACAAACATCGTTACAGAAAATGCATAAAAATATGCTTATGAATATTTAAAATAGTCACTTATAGTACTTTTTATAAAAAAAAGTGTTATTGACAGTAACATGTATATAACAGATTTAAAGAGCGTTATGGAGTCACTTGTTTAATTTTTTACACATTTTTTCATCTAAAAATCCATGATGAACAATATAGAACTTTCATACGTTAATCATGTGTCTCAATTGAAATAAACGATGATGCTTATAAATAATATGACTTTGCCTGTATATTCCTAATCCTGTATTGCGATTTAATTTTGTCGGAGACTGTTTTTCATAGAAGTAAACATTATATATAGGTAATATACTTTGTCTAAAATGGGCGCAATAATGGTTGGGAGTATTTTTCAAAAATTATTCCAACTGGAAATATAAAAACTGCTAAGTATAAGTAAGGTTATAACCTTACTTAATAACACATTTATCAAGAGCATTTTCTCATTATGTATCAAGTTGCTAAAGATTAGTTTTGATCAAATGTAGTGTTTACAATTATTGGTTTATCTTTATAAACCAGCGCGTATCTCTCACGCGCAATTGCGTCGTGACCAGGTCTTTGTATTTTTCCATCCTTGGGAGTACATTTATCTAAATGGAATTCCAGATTTTTATGCTAGTTAAAATTGAATACAAAATGCAGGATAATAATTAACACGTAAAACTTGACGTTTGTTTACGAGTTATAGCATAGTACGTCACGTGGACTGGTGCGACACCTAAGCTAGAGAAGTCTTTTAGTAGTTTATTAAAACAATTTTTAATTTAAGTTTTTAAAGCTAATACTTAACAGAATTAAAAATAATAATTTATGTTGATTCTAGAGCCACTAACAAATAATCTTTTGTGGTGGCTGGTTTTTAAAGTCTAGTCAATTAGCCTGAAATAACAGTTTTCTACGTGTAAATAACAACCATACCGATTGACCAACATTAGCTATACCCCAACCGATAGACCAATTAGTGACAAATATAATTATTGGAGTAAGATATTATACTGTTGTTTGGAAAATATAATGTAGAATTGACGATTACCTGCTACCCATCCTTCAGGTTTAGATGAAAATGTAAACTCCAGTTCAAAATCGGTGTACGCCATTCGAATATTAAGTTGACGTCGCGCCCATCTCTCTTCAGTAACCAGTGGACTTTGACTAAACGTGGATCGACGAGTACCAACAGTGGAATATACTCCTGTATATAAAAATGCATAATATACATCCTCTTTAGTATTACTAGATGGAACTAATTAAATTACTAATTATATAAAAAAAATACCAAAAAGGCGAAAAAGAGCTCCAGTGCTAGTAACTGTTACGCCAGGAACCTGCTTTCTTGCTGCTACTCTTGGAGGTAGAAAATTGATTTTCCGTATTACTACTGGATTCACCTTTCCCGTATAAAATCCTACAACGGGCCCCGATGCTATTCGTCGTATTACAAAATATATTTCCTGCATAACCATATCATGGCGCCTCAACGTATTAACACGAGTGTCATTAGCTGAGTCTTTGAAATAAATATAGAAGTGCTTTTGACGTCCATTACGTATTTGTATTTTATTACTAGTGCTAGATACATAGTATACATTATTTTTCTGATGTTGAAAGACTTGCTTGAGTAATTTGTAAGGCTCAATTACTTTTGGGAGGTACATAACTTTCTTATCAGTGAGACCTTGTTTTAAATATTGAAATGGAGATCCAAATTCATCTTTGATGCTTATATCTTCGGTACTGAATTTTTCTTCTACAAACATTATAACTACCTTTGAATTTCTTATAGCTTCATGAATTATATCGAAGAAACTTGAAGTATCGACTTTATTAAATGGATTTGGCTCTACTACTACATGAGGAAGAACAGACTCGTAATCTAATAAAAATACAGGAACTGTATTAGCATTTACTTTGATAACGCTTATTAGAAATAAAGTTAGCAACCTCATTGTCTTCATTTTATAATAGTGAAGTTTTATATAATTTTTTTGCTCGGACACATAACCGTCATTGGCAAATAAGACAAGGAATTTTCTTTTAAAGAATATGGGATCTCTTTTATATTAAAGTTAATCATAGATAATATATTGATCAGCGATTTGTTGCGCAACTTTGCGGTTGAAGAATCAAATAATATATTTATACTAGTAACACCGAGACATAGAGAAGCGTCAAATCAATCATATGATCACTTTTCACATGACCGATGGTCACTCGTCATCGCCCATTTTTCGTCTATTTATGACAATTTTGGGCTAAAACATTACTTTTAGTCCGTATATCAAGTTATTTAATCATTAAAAATGGCGTTTAGCCGTTTAGTGTTATCGTTTGCATTATTATGTATTGCGTCTAGCTTGGCCTCGGTGAGTGTACCTGTTTTGCTATGGGGTGATTTAGCTGGCCCTTCAATGAAATCTAACCCTCTTGGAGAGGTATCTCAATCAGAATTCGAGGACATACTGAATAATGAGCTTAAGGATGACCAATTCACCGTTGTGTTCATCGATGAATCGCTATCCGTCGAGGACTTTTCACGTAAGAACTCCGAAGGAAAAACCTCATTCCCATATTTGAAATCAAATATTGCTGAGGCCTTATACTTACCAGCTGTAGATAATGTATTGGAAGTGTTCCACAAATACTCTGATTCAAACGCTGACCATGTGACCTTGACAGAAAATGGGCTATCTGCCGAGATTGAGAAGGAAAACGTGAAATATCTATTTATCAACTTAAGGGATGCTCGAGAGGGTGAGTCTAGAGCTGATATGCTTCTGCGCCACAACGATTTTATAGAGGCCATGGTTAGTAAGCTGCAAGAGCAATATGACAAAGTAGCTGCTATTTACACTGGAGAGTTCCCCTCATGGACCATTCCAGAAAGCCATTTACGTACTCGCCGTGCAACACCGGGTGTATTCTACAGCACAGCTTTGAACGGCCTTAGATTCTATGCTAAGGATATTATCATCACTAGCAAGGCAGGAGAATTCAATCTCACTGGGCTTTCTGGAGGTACTACAAACTTTAATGAAACTGTCATGCAGGCTACTTTGAACTTTAGCAACGGATCCCTTATTTTAAACTTTGAGTCAAAATTAGGATACTGGTTCTTGGGTAAGTGGATAGATATTATTTTAATAAAATTATGCTTGATTAAAAAAAAATTGTCAGCATTGATCAAAATAATTAAAAATATAAACTTTAAATACCTGTACGCACATTATCAACCGATTATGATGAAACTTAAACTTTTAAATAAATTATATATAGTTGTTTGGACAGATTGTAAATTGGACAAGCTTCCTGGTTAATAACTTATTTTAATAATGTAAATTGTTTGTAATAACAAAAGAAATTGTAATTGGTTGTTTGATGTGTGAGTTTGCATAACATCGATGAGACTTGAAGTGAAGATTCAGCTATGATAGCAAATTAAATTAGAGAAATGCGAGTAATAGTTATAAAATGTTGTGATAAAACTAAGTTCCATTATTTCACCTCCTTGACTTTTGTTTAAATTCAGCTTTTGTCAGCAATAATTTTAAGTGCTACTTAACATAGTTTTTAATTAATTGAGTACTGTATTTTTCCCCTAAAATAGCTGCTTAATATCATGAATAGCTTACCTAGAGGGCACAGAACATGTTTTTTAATTTATATATAAATCATTAAATACTAGTCTATGGTTATAGTTTTTGATGACCTTTTGTACCTTCAGACCTTCTATGATTTACCTAATTATATTTTCACACAGTACAGTCAAAATCTGTTATAACAACATTGAAGGGACTACTCATAGTTGGTCGTACAAACCGGTTGATGTAACAGCCGATGATGTTGTTATTAACCTAATACAATAGAATTCAGCCGGGATCTTTGATTTTGGTCAATATAACTAGTATGTTGTACGAAACGATTTGGACTGTACTTATAAAAGTTTATTTTGATATTTCACGGGTTGATCATAATTGTGCTCTCAAAATTTTTTTATCCATTCCATATACTAATAGCAAATCAAGACTTATTATAATCTAAGCTTGCTGACCCTTTACAAAATTGTTGAGCCATGCTGCATAGTCATATGGTACTAAAAATATACTTATGGAGAACTATTAATTTCAGATTCCATTACATACAATGGTGAGGAATTGACAACCAATTCTGATGTGTATGCCATCCTTGGGTTCTCATACCGTTGTGGCCAGACTGCCATCTTCTCAAAACTTAACGACACTGAACAGACTACCGTTATCTTCAGAGATTTGAAGGTGAATAATATTAATAATCTATCTCTGCAGCTTGTATCTGCAGGTTTAATCCCATTAAAATTATTTAACATTTTGCTGTGCCTGATAATGTACCTTTTACATGAACAATATGTAAATTGATAAGTAACTATAAATTTGTAAGCAAAACTTGAGAAGTGGTCTATGGGCTATCTAAATGGAAGTACAAACATTGAATTGATATTTATGATTTCTTTACGAAGCTATTGTAACGTTCATGCTAAATTTTGGTATCGAGACTTCCACCTAATCTTATCCTTAGCAATTCTAAGATTTAAGTCAATTATTTCAGGTTCAACCATTCTTCAAGGAGACCAACTCCAGTGACACACCCCAATTCGGTGACTCCTTCAACTGTGTAGGATTCTTCTCAGTACCGATCTGGTCTGGTCTCTTCGTCACCTTTGTGATGCTGGCTATTACCTTTTACGGTATCATGATGATGCTGGACATCAGAACGATGGACCGTTTTGATGATCCCAAAGGTAAAACCATCACCATCAACACAGTTGAGTAATTAAGTTTCTACGCCATTACATAAGGAAAACCATTTAAAAAATATATTTTTATGCATTTAATAATATTTGAACCTAAGACAAATACCCTATTTCGAACTAAAATTTGAAAAAGTTTAATTCATGTTTAAAATGATGTTATTTTAGCCTCTAATACAGTTTTTTTAATGTAATGGCGTTAAAGTAACGCAAAGTTAGCTCAAATCTAATAGCGTAGGTACAGCATTTTGTGGAAATACCCAAAACAGTCGAAGCTAGATTGAATACTTAAAAAATTGACGTTTGACATTTCACTGTTTTGGTGTCTGGTGTTGCCAGATGATAAAGTTACTATTAAAACCAGGACGTGCCTAACTTCAATATGTATTCTATATATTTGTGATAGGATGTAGATATAAATGCTAAATGAATTAATATACGCACTTAGAAGTATTAGAATGCTTAATGGCCTTACCCGATTCGACAACGATGATTCCGAGCTTTCGTGCATAGATTAAAATTCGATTTTTTTAAATTGTCGATGAAATGTGTTCCCTCCATGCTAGTGCCAATTTTCATTCCAATTCGTCTAAAATGTAAGATTTAAGAATTGTTATTAAGTGACCTTCACAATAATATTACCAATATTTCTAATAAAAATATTTATTAATTGTTAATTTATAGTCTGAGAGGCGCCATTTTGAATAACATCTGGTGATTCAAAATGGCTGCCGTTAACATTTTTGTGAATTAGATGTAAGCGAAATATCTACACAAATCATTTTTTTCTTGTAAATATAATTTTCACTTTTGTTGTTTTGATCAAGTATTAAATAATGAGACCAATTTTATTTTGTTTTTATTTTATCGTTTTCCTCATAAGGTCTAGTATTTTATACATAGTTATAGATTGTAATGGAAATGTTATATTGGTTGGAATAAAGCTTAATATATTTAGATATTTTTATTTCAATTACAATTATTACCTATATCCTGACTCATATTTTCAAAAAGTTGAAATCAGTGTTGCCTGTGGTCAATTCTGTGAAAATTGTGGTTCTTTTAACTGAATTTATATGATTTTTTTGGATTTTCAATAGTAAATAAAACAAATTCGAATAAAATCTAAATACTTCAAATTATTTATTACTTACGAACTAAATGTATTACAGTTTTTTTTTAATACGATTCTAAACAAATTTAAACAACCAAAGTTGTATTTTAAAATTCCAGTCTTAAGATATATTTTGTGTAAAACATTAAAAAAGTATTTATCTTAGAAAACTACATAAAGCCAGTTAAAATCTCATCAATAATTTTATTTAAATAAATTAGTCTGCTGCAGTGAAATGTTAATGAAAACGTAAGAATATCAATAGAATCTTTCTCTCAGATTGAAATATAAAATCATCAATCATCATCGTAGACACGCGACATTTTTCGTCATGGATTTGTCTACCGTCTGTCATTTTAAATTTTCATTCCCTGAGCTCTTGTAGACTCGATAGATTTAGATAGCCAAGAAGGACTGTATCTGAATATTAAAAATATATAAAAATACTTTGCGCCAGGCGTGATCTGTCAAAATGGTAACATCGCTAAGCGTGTGCTTGTGTCAATGTCAGTCTGAAACTCGATAGCGGGAAAGTAATTTGTATGAAAATGACATTAGCTCACGCTTTGTCAGGTGACAATTTCCAAACAAATTAATTTGATGTTATTGCTAAATGATTTCGTCTCTAGCCCAGGGTTTCGATTTTCGTCACTTTATACTTAAATTTTTAATGTAAAGGTAAAAAAATAGGTTGCCCCATGTCAAATCACAGTTCTGTTTTTCGTATAATTAATTAAATTAGTTACAGTAAATAGGTATACATTTTAGTGTCGAATCCGCGTCTGGCAACATTCTCGTCAATCCAAGATCTAAATGTTGCCACGTTAACATACACTCCAGGGTTGCCAGTCTGCCCGCAACCAATTCCCCAAGAAACTATTCCACTTACCGCGTATCGATCTTCTTGATACTGTAAAAGAAGCGAAAGTTTTTTAGTGAAAATTACAGTTATTATACATTAAAAAAAAACATTGGCGCTACAACATTAGCGCCGCTCATGGACACACCCATATCCAGAGTGTTCCCGAGTGCGGCCTTTTCAGAAATTTGCGGTACCCCCCTGGGGTCTCTGTTCGAACTGTACTTTCATACTTTTGTGGGAGGGTGATGGATTCCTGAAGTATCCCTCACCGATAAAATGAAATTTCGGCACCTCAAAACGATAGTTTTGTAGGCTGATTATAAAAACAATTACACTTAAGTATGTTGTTGATGTCTAAATATGAAAATATTTCTTCGTAATAAAGTTGTTGCGTTATAAAGTGTGAATTAACGTATAAGTTTTGTGTTAATATTTACGTTATAGTGAGATTTTTGTTATAACGGTCGACCTTACCTATAAAGAGTTTGCACTGTATTTAAATAAACTTTTACTTTCTGTATTAAAAGTTAAAACCATGCAAAATGGATTTACACTTTGATCTGAAGAAATTTGCCTGTGTGACCGCCGGCTCCTCTGCCTACTTACGGGTAAAGGACAAGATAGCGGCGATCCACCGTCGCCCCTGCAAGTGTCCTGATCACCGCCTCCCGCGCACATGAAGGTCTTGCTCAGCTGAAAGTATTTCCCGAGGCGCGTTTTACGAAGTTGCGTCTGGCATACATCATGGTTCAGGACTGGTAACTCCACCTAAAATTGTTTAGCCTCAAAAAAATATACGACCATTTTTAAGGGCATCATTTGCAAGTTCATATAGCTCCTGTTGGTACTGGATTTTTTATAGAACAGGGGGCCCCATCCATTACCAAAAAATCATTTGCCCGTTTGTGTGTGTAGTGGCCGGCCTTTTGAGAATTGATACGCGATATACGAACCTCCACATTGTGGTGGTACGCGTCAGAAACTGCTTTAAAAATGCTCAGTTGTGGAACGAAATTACTATGTGGACTTTACTAGTCTTGTCGCAGTCAACTAGCTTAAAAGCCGTTCAATTAATAGCCTAAGCTTTTAACTAAACGGCGCCGTTTAACTAGCGGCCTGAAAGATATTCAGCCGTAGGTAGCGTTTGTAACAAAAGGCTAATGCTTAGGCCGTAGCATCTTCCGTGGGCAACTTCATTCTGTTAATTTTGTGTGCACGGTGCGCGCGTATCGTAAAATTTCACTCTCATAAATTTTTCATAATGCGCCTAAAGAAGTAGGTATAACTTCAAAAAGATGACACATCTGACATAAAAATATTTATTTAAAAATTAATTGCTTGAGTCAGTCACAGCTAAATTCACATTATTATTGTCACTACACTCTACCATTGTACTTGTTGTTTTTCATTAAAGTTTGGAAAATACCATCAAAGTAGTTGCATTGACAGTTTGAAGAGTTTAGTTTCAAGTTTGAGAGTGGCAGAAAGTGGAACTAAATTTAAATTAAAAGTCAACAGACTAGGCAAGTAATGAAACGTCATCGATCCCAGTCATTTGTCTAGATGTTTGATCAGTCATCATTTGACTGGCTGAATATCTTTCAGGCCGCTAGTTAAACGGCTGTTAATTGAACGGCTTATTAAGCTAGTTGGCTGCGATATATATACGTTGTATTAAAGAAATTGGGTGGGCTTCAGTGCCTATACTCTTAATATAGCATGGCAGAGTTCGATACCGACACTAAGTTTTAAGTATAATGGAAACTTAAGCGATTTCACGTTCTTTATGCTATTTTATGACAAATTAATTTCCTAGATGGTTTGGCAATGACAAGGAATTAATGAGAAGCAGTTAACCAGTAGGATATAATAGGACCCCGCGGATGGTGAAGTCGGGTTGGATAGGCCTTCTCGTACATACCTGGACCAAACGTACTAGAGGAGGGACTGGTCAACAGTTTGGCATCCTTTGCCAATTATTGTACAAATCCAAGGAATTCTTGCAATAAGTTCACTGTTCTTCAATGAGAGTTCCAGAGGAAGGGCACAGATTTCTGTATGTTTCCTCACCGTTCCAGCGGGTGTTAATTGGGCACATAGATAAGTCCATTAATGCACAGTCGGGGATTAAACCTACGACCTCAGGGATGAGAGTCGAACATTGAAGCTTTTTTAGTTATAAGAATAATAATTCATACCTTTTTCAAAATAACCTGGTAGCGCCCCTCCTTCCCGAACTGATCCTTGCCCCAGCCAGATGCGAAACATTTTTCGCCGTCCGCTTCAGATATTGGGAGACACACAACACCAACATTTGGTGCTAATTTTACTTCTGATTCCAGGAATAGAAGAGCTATGTCATAGTGAAGGTTGCCTGGAATCCAGGTGATTTATTAGGCAAGTCAAATGTGCCTGACACACGCCGTTTGGATCTAAGGCATTTCCTGACGATGTTTATAGGTTTAAATTGAGTGAAAAAACTGAGTTTTTAAAGCAAAGCTTTGACTAAGAATAAGAATTAATGTTTTACTTAAAGTTCTTATGTGTAGATGATTTTACCTTGCTTTGGAAAATATTAAGACTTATTTGTGCCTTTCATACAAACCATTTTGATCTATATTTTGACTGATGAATTTCTACTTCGTAATTTGGCATTTGATTTCATTTATATTTCATTAAAATTACACGAATTATGGTAACAAGTAAAGATTGATTTTGCAAACATTTTTTGTCTATTAAATGTGCGACCAGGTTTGTCTGCCCAGCTTTTAGGTTTGGCGACTTTATCGCGGTGCAAAAACTTATTATATTCGCTGGTTTTTTATATATTATATAAGGGGCAAACGGGCAAGAGGCTCACCTGCTGTTAAGTGATACCGTATGGACACTTACATTGCCAGAGGGCTCGCAAGTGCGTTGCAAGCTTTTTAAGAATTGGTACGCCCTTTTTTGCAGAACCCTAAGTCGAATTGGTTCGGAAATACTTCAGTGTGCACGTGGTTCTACATAGTGGTGGCAAAAACTGCCTTAATAAACACTCAGTTGTAGATAGATGGATGTTGAGGTGATACATTATATGATGGTGTATATATTGGAAGTTACAGAGTACCACCGCCGATTCCAGAATTGGTAAAATTTTTTTTTAAAAGACGATTCACACCAATTGACCTAGTCCCATGCTAAGCTGGTGAAGCTTGTGTTATGGGTATTAGGCAACGGATGTACATACATATTATAGATAGATAGACATATAAATACATATTTAAACACCCAAGACCTCAGCACAACATCAAATGCTCATCACATCGATGTTTGTCTCAGCCGGGGATCGAACCCGGGACCCATGGATTCGCAGTTAGGGGTACTAACCACTAAACCAATGAGTCGTCGTAAATAGATCAAATATAATAATTGTTTGAATAAAACTTACGTTTATTAAACTTCTCGTGTATGACAACATCAGCAACATCCCTTTCTTGATACGGGAATACCTCTTTGTCCGTCTGGGTATCCCATTCCCCCGCTCTTGCGCGATAGTGATGTGCCGTCTTGACCAAATGTGCGGCGGTTAGAACAACACTAGTGTGTATAAGTGACCCACCGCCGATGTATAAATTAAACGTTGCCCCTGGCTCTTTGGGACTCAGGGGTTGTACTCTGGAAATTTTGAACTGAACAAATAAAGAAGAAAGACTCCATATGTTGTATCATATCAGAGTTCTAACTAGCAGTGGATCTGACAACATCGGCCGAACTAATATCGGTCGGATTAATACCTGCAGCTGAGTTTCATCATCGGACGTCAAGGTAGATTACAAAATACCATCCGTATCACCTTGACGTCCGTTCCAATAATGAGCCAACAGCTGACCACTGAAGTATTTCCGAACCCATTCGACTTAGGGTCCTTCAAGAAAAGAGCGTACCAATTCTTAAAAGGCCGGCAACGCACTCGCGAGCCCTCTGGTATTAAAAGTGTCCATGGGCAGCGGTATCACTTACCATCAGGTGAGTCTCCTGCCCGTTTGCCCCCTGTTCTATAAAAAAAAAGAACAAAAATAACCTAACGTCAATGACACACCATATTCTATTTTATTAGTAAACAAAAATAGGGATTCTTTTATGGGCTGGAGACTCACCTGATGGTATGTGATACCGCCGCCCATGGACACTCTCAATACCAGAGGGCTCGCGAGTGCGTTGCCGGCCTTTTAAGAATCGTTACGCTCTTTTCTTGAAGGACCCTATGTCGAATTGGTTCGGAAATACTTCAGTGGACAGCTGGTTCTACTATGGTGGTGCAAAATTGCCTTAAGAATCGCTCGGTTGTGGAACGACGGACGTCAAGGTGATACGGATGGTATCCGTTACTTGCGTAGATTTTTGTAATATAATCTAGCTATTGGCCTTTACAGTTCAGCTCGGGCTGTTTTGGTGCAAGGGCGTCTCCTGCGAGACTCGGATCTCGGATTGGGCCGTCGCGGGGTGGTCAATCGCCTGAAGGGCAGGACGGACGCTCACTTGAGTAGCGAAGTACGAACTACGAAGTAAAGGACCACGCTTTCACCGGTCCTCAAAACTATATACTGTTAGCGAGGCGCGGACAGATACCGGTGGAAGAAGATTGTCTCCTCTCCGCTCTAGATGCTTCCTTGCTGACCACGACACTTAGATATGAGCTGCCGACTAGAAAGAAAAACTTACTGTAGTAGAGCAACCATCCAGGGGAATTCTCCGAACCGGGCAATATCCCCTGTCTTGCCTGTCCTGATAAGAGGATCGATGCCGTTTGGGTTTCGCCAGCCACAGCCTTGTCTCTGGCAAGGAGATTTAAGATGAGCACAGGGTATGTCAAAATCCAATTGACATATTGGAGTCATAGCGAGTGATGTCCCGATTCTGAATTTTATCTTTGGTAATCACCTACCTAGAAGTTATATGTGCTGTGTAATTCTTTCAAGGGGAAGGTGATTAAATTTTTATAGCGTGGGAGAGTTTAGACCATAAGTTTGAAGAGTCTTTCCACCAACTTCAATTTTGTTCCCTATGGAGTAGACTCTTGGGCCGTGGGGTTCAAGTGCACAGCTTATTAAAGATTTAAGTTGGCGCCTAATAGATAGTACCGGTGACCCCAGAGCTGGCACTTTCCTGGATAAACGAATAAGTATCGCAATATTAGTATATTTTTTTTTTAAATTTGTTTTGAGTTTCTTTTTAATAATTTTTATTATTACTTTGTAGGTTATGAAAATTGTAAATACTGCACACTTGATTGTTAATAAAAACATCATAAATGTAATACTTATTGCATAACTTATTATTATGACATTATGTTAATGTACTATAAACCATTGTAAACATTAATATGACATTTTAGTAGGGGAGCCCAAGCGGGGATTTCGAGATTTACTAAAGCGCGGCAGATTAATATACAGGGGGATACCTTGTACCCGGTTAGGTACCTCCACAAAACATGAGGCCCATATTTAAGGCCGCCCGTGAAGGATACAGGATCAGATTAGTAAAAAAAATTGACCATCAGAAATTCTCGAGCGCGTCAGATTAAGGTAGGGTGAGTTAATTACATCCTAAAAAGTGTATATTCCACTAATCTGACAATTTGAGAGTGACGTAAAAAAAGGGGAGAGCAACAAAGTTGTAAAAAAAACGTCATCTCGACATTCTCGAGCGTAGCTAAATTTTTTTTTATTTTGAAGGATTTTTTTAATAATTCAAGAATAATGAAAAATATATAATCTGACGATTTCCGCAAGCCGAAATAACAAAAATTCGTCGATAAAGTTAAATACGTGCAGCTGCGTGATGCCTACATTTCCTTCTCCGCGTTTCTATTCCTCTCTCACTCTTTCTCTATCTATTACTCTCTCACTCCGTCCCCACTCTGAATGCCTACCATGAACTCTTATTGCGAGCCTATTGACAACCTACAACTGAGATGCATCGCTAATTCGTACCATGACATCGAAAAAACGAGACAGTTTATGTTCCCACGTGACATTAGCGGTTATCAGATTTCGTTCGTTCAATTTGTATGAAAATCCGTACCATGACCGCTCGGCTGAACCGAAATTTGACAGTCGCGCCTTCCAGCTATGACAGAATAATCGATTCTAAAAAAGTTACTTTTTGATCAACTTTTTTGTATCGAAATGTCCAATAGTTAAGAACCTATAAAATTCAATATTTGTACTGCGTGAAAATTGCTTGATCCATTCAAAAGTTATTGCGGTTTGAAAATTCCAAAAATAGTGTTCTATGAAACTTCTATCAGACTTTCGAGCTGGGAGAGCTCAAATGCATAGAAATATTATTTCTTTGAACTCAGCGAGCTCAAAATATCACATAAATTATATTTTGAGCTCAAAAATGTGATAAGTACAATTTTAAGCGCCCAGGAATGGAATTAGCGGGAAGTTGCAGGAATGGCCTTTAAGATGAACCCTTTTTCTAATTTTTTTTTGTCAGATCAGGCGAATCTCTCTAGATAATCGTCAGATTATGAGACAGTACGTTTAGAACATAAAGATGAACCATATATATCTTAATCTGACGCGCTTGAGTATTTCAAAATGGCGATTTTTTTTGCACATTATGAAAATGGCCGCGGGTTTGCGTCCCATCGAAATCGTCAGATTAGTGAATGAGAGCTTTTTTTTGGTGCACTTAACACTCCCTTAGAAAATCTGACGCGCTCGATTAAATTTTTTTTCATTTTCAATTGTTCAACTTTTGTTCAACCCGCATCATGCAAACGATCAGATTAACATACGTACATTATTAAAAATACGTAGGGCATTGATGCTATCAATATCTGACGCGCTCGAGGATGTCCATGCAACAGTTTTTTTTTACATATTTAAAAATCTATAGCCGCTTCCCCCACCGATGTAAAGGTATATTTCATATAACATTTTTTTCTTCTTATCATCTAAGCTTTGCACCCCAATAGGTCTCTACGACGCTCGAGTAAATCCCCATTAAGCCTCGTGGGCTCCCCTACTATTTGCATGCCAATTTATATATGGCTGATTGTGCGGATTTTTGTCGTTGATCGATCTAATTGTACCACAATCTTTTCAAATAAACGATTTATCATTATAAAGATATTTAACTAGCAAAAAATTAACCAAGCTCATATACAAAGGAAATAATTAACAACATTTTAAGAATGTCTAAGTTTGGATTTGACCGCAGGAGGCTCACCTGATGTTACGTGATACGGACATGGGCCCTCTTGGGTCGGGCACCCAAGAGGGCCCATGTCCAAGACATATTATGCTCTGTGGATGAATGTGAAGTCTCCAATACGCATTGGGCTAGCGTGGGAACTACAGACCATTCCGTCTCGCCTAAGAGAGGAGGCCATTAGTGGGACATATACAACGTGTAATTGAGTACGCTGATAATCTCGAAGTTTAGATATTAAAATTAAACTGAGTACAACGTGACGATTTTTACTGATAGGTCCCCATCAAAAGAATTTGCCACGGGCCCCAGATGGTATAGTTACGCCACTGCCATGGACACTGAAAGCCAGAGAGCTCACGAATGTGTTGCCGGTCTTTTAATTGGTACGCTCTTTTCTTGAAAGACCCTAAGTCGAATTGTTTGGGAAATATTTAAGCGGGTAGCTGGTTCCACATATGTGGTGGTAAAAACTGCCTTATAGAAGCTCAGTTGTGGAACGACGGACGTCCAGGTGATACGGATAACTTCCTAGTGCTTAGTTTAAGATTCAAATGCCTTAGCAATACAATATGTGTTTGTTTCGTTAAGTTTCTGGCTTTAAAGTGCCAATCAAGAGCATATAAGCATATATTCTGTATGAAGTTTGACACCTTAATATATATAAATTACGCGTCACGTTGTTTGTCCGCTATGGACTCCTAAACTACTTAACCGATTTCAATCAAATTTGCACACCGTGTGTAACATCTTTTTTCCCACTAGTTTTGTAAATTATTATTATTACTACTTACATGTATAGGCTTGGGCGTGATAGGGTCGTCTGTTCCACGTGTATCCGACATTTTGCAGCAGGTATCTAAGTAGGACGGACATGGCAAATCGCCAGACCTAAAAATTTAATTTTTATAATAATAATTTATTGCAAGAATATGGTACAAAAATGTGTAAGGTGGTACAATCGTAAGTTCGCATATTCCCCACAGAATGGCGCGCAAATTTGTCTTAAGGAATTTTACGTTTTACATTATTAGTCATATAAATTGGTCAGTTCTTATATTATTTGTATCGTACATATCATATGTGATTAAATTTATATCAACTACAGTGTTTCTTCCAAAAGTAATACACCAAGTCGATTTTTAAAGACTAGTCGGAAGACCTTTTAATTCTTTTGGTAAATTATTGTAAACCTTAATAGCCATACAAAAGGTGATTTTCCTAAACAGTTCCAGAAGTTCCAGATTGATTTTTGGCACAGCCAATTTCTCCACATGTCTACTTCTTACTTCAGCTTCCACATTCGACTTAAAAATATGTATGTTTCTACACATTTTTGTAGAAGTCGAAGTGCACGAATAATGACATTATATGAATGAATACAGGGAAGAGATAAAATTTTGAGCTTCGTAAATAAAGGTACGCAACTATCAAGACAGTTTGCTCCACAAATTGCACTAATACGTTTTTTTGATCCTTAAATACTTTACCTTATTTGGTATTAATATGTCCTTATAAGGTACTGAGTATTGTAATGGAACGAGGCTCTTTAGGACACGACTATTTAATATTTGTGTCATAGAATATAGGTATTTAAGGCACAAAATTTATTGCAGCCCTGCGATTCTGTAACTCACTTTTCGAACTCACACAGCGGCTTTCGCATCGGCGGTCGCTCTGAAATCAGTCGTGAAGCAGTCATTTTATGATTTGGCATTCTGATAAACAATAAACTACAAGCTCCCACCTTATCAGAATGTCAACTCATAAAATGACTGCTTCACGACTGATTTCAGAGCGACCGCCGATGCGAAAACCGCTGTGTGAGTTCGAAAAGTGAGTTACAGAATCGCAGGGCAGTTCTCACCAATGTATGTGCAGTGTTGGCTAGTGACATTCAGTCCATGTGCGCATTTAACATTCGCTCGAACGGTAAAGGAAACATCGTGAGGAAACCGACATTTCTTAGACCCAAAAAGTCGACGGCGTGTATCAGGTAGGATATATTAGGCTGATCCCCTACTTGCCTACTAGATTGACAAATGATCATGAAAATTATTCAGAGTGTCTAACGCCACTTTATTCTTCGTTCGGTTTGTGACTTACCGTTCATCTAGAATTCCCACACCGTCAGTATTGACCGTACCATTTTCGTTGCATTGATAATATACTACGCAAATCCCTGCGTCGTTGTCTTTTGTCATACATGTGTCTGCATCTAGATAGATAGATTCCTATAATTATTTAAGTAAAAACTTTTTAGCATAGTTGTAATTTGAAAGTCATTAAAAGGATCTCTCCTGATGTTAAGTGATACTGCCAAACTCAACAGGCTCGCGAGTGCGTTGCCGGCCATACTATTCGTATCTTAATTGTGTTTACTATTAAAATATATTTATATCAGATATATCCAATTAAAGTTTTATCGATATAACTATAGCTAGGTTTATTTTAATTATTTCCTTTCTTATAAAAATATGTTTATTATTTAAAGAAAAAACTTTTTACCAGATTAAAGTCACCGTGTCACCGTGACCACGCACGCTGTAAAGCACGCGAAACGTCGGATAAATTTAAAATTATGTTAAATAATTGTAAATTTATAATAATACATAACTTCAATCCGGTAAAAAGTTTTTTCTTTAAATGTGTAAAGGTTATGTTAATCAAAGACAAAACTATGTTTATTATTTCTATACTGCTAGTTAAAAGCATTTGTTAGCTTTCTGCCCATTTGCCCCCCATTCTAAAGAAAAAATATTAATTTCCGTGAATTTCATAATAATTGAATATTGACGAAATTAATATGATTGAGTCTTAGGCTGTGGGGTTCAAGTGCACAGGCGCTAAAGATTTCGGTTGGCCCAAGATAGTACGGGTGACCTCACAGCTGATGCTTTTCTCGCTCAACGAATAAGCATCGCAATACAGCAAGGAAATGCTGCCAGCATTAACGGCACACTACGATGCACACTTTTAAAATTTGTTTTAATTTGTATTATTACTTTATATTTAATTGTTTTGTTAAGGTTTTAATAAACGATTATTTATAGTATTAAAAACTAATAGTTTTAAGAACTACAGTTAGAACAACTACAGTACTTTTTTGCTACAGTTGACATATTTGACAGCGCCCACGAAATCTCTATGTACGAATTAGATTATGGTCTTTAGTATAAAAAACTTCGACCACAATTTCGTCCACAATTCGTGTATTTCGTGTACGATCTTGCGAAGTCTTGCGTTTCTTTCTGTCAAATTGTCTTTTTGATGCGATGAAAAGAGACATTTGTCTCTTGCTCGAGTTTTGGACATAAAATAGTAATTTCTTAAAAAGCGCCATCTCTGCATAAATAAAATAAATAAATAAAAAATCATTTAATCACATAGGTAACATAATGTACACTTATGACTTGTCAGTAAATAAATACATATTAATGCTTCTAATTTTACATTTAGTGCCAGTTCTCAAATCAAGGGCGTAGAACGGGTGAGAAAAACTGGCAATAAACTCTCCGCCACTCTTTTTAATCGCCATTTTTTTTGTTTTACAAAAAGTTTGTAAGGAGCTGCAACCATTACACCATGTTCCACATGACATATTATGTGATTAATAATAATAACATAAATTAAAAACAAAGACTTGTCCTCTATCAGCAGAAGGCATGGTGAAATAGGAGCACGCACTTACATTCTCGTGGGAACAACACGCAAACACATAGTCGAAATAACCAACATAATATAGCCTTAGCTAACTTCACATAACGACGTTTGTTTGCGATTATTGAAGAAACTAGAAACCCCAGACCAATAGATTGACGATTTCATTATTTGCTATCTAGCATTCGCTTCCCGGGGATAAAAGTAAAGCACTGTTACAACTGTTTTAATGTTTTCTCATTTTTGAACTTCCGTGGGTAGATAACTATTTTTTTCAAAATTTTTGTAAAATATTTTATTTAAAAAGGATGTCTTTAATCAGCAGTGTTGGCCTAGTGGCTTTAGCGTGCGACTCTCATCCTGAGGTCGTAGATTCGATCCCCGGCTGTGCACCAATGGATTATTTTTCTATGTGCGCATTTAACATTTGCTCGAACAGTGAAGGAAAACATCGTGAGACATGTCTTAGACCCAAAAAGTCGACGGCGTGTGTCAGGCACTGAAGGCTGTTACCTACTATTGAAATCTGAGGCCCAGACCTAAAGACGCTGTAGCGCCACTGAATTTTTTTTTTTAGTAATACTCGTTTATCTAATTTTACTTTACTGAAATAGATAGCAACAACCACAGAGATAGTTTTAGTTTAGATTGTTATTCTACCAAATAATTATAAAAGTTAATGCGATGGTTTAAAAAGAAATAAATAATGGTAATATTATGTCTGATTCACCAAAAGAGTGGTAATAAATTATTACGTTCTAGACATTCGTCAAAATGTGTCATCAGTTAATCTTTCAACAATAAAACAATAGTATATAAAACGCTTTAGTCTAATTAGATAAATTGCTGTAATGTACATTTAGTTATTTTTTAACTATTTACACTAAATACATAACAACAATATTTAAATTGCTTTCATTTGATGTATATATATCTTTATATATAATAATACCTACCTTTCTTTATTTTTACTGAAAAACATCGTATTTGCTTATACGATTTTCCGCGGGGCAAGAGAATTACAGATAACGCTTTTTAACGATATCTCACAGTTAATTAATATCAGATATCATCATGACGGAGAATTGACGTCTGCGCAAGTTATATAATGGCCGATAATTTTATTATTTCAAACCTTACCTTTTTTTCCCGGATTCAAATTGAGATTCGCCGCGAAGCCGATCGACAGGATGAATAATACGCACTTTAGCATCTATTAAAGTAAATGTTAACTTAATATCGTAAACAGAAAATAATTGTTAATTAAGGCGGATGTTTGAGGAACCATATATTATGTAATAGTTACTTTCATTTCTATTTTAGATCTTTACATTATTGTTGTACCGATTTTAGCAGGAAAACTATTACTAATACTAAAAACACTCGGTATTTCTATTTCTTCGGATTGGGTATAAACTTAAAAGCTATTAATATATTATATACCTACTAAGCAACATTAGAATATGAATTCTAGTACACCTATTTTCCCTCCAATCTGTTGCTAGGCAACCGGCCACCGGGCTGTCTTTGTTTTTTGTTTCTATTTCGTCTATTGCCAGCAATTATTAAAAAAAGAAAACAAACAAAGAGGTTAGTGTGCGAAGGTTTTGATCGCCAATGCAAAATACTTATTCAATAAAACAAAATACTATACAATTGTTTTACTGTTTGTATATAAAATTAAATCTATTGGCTGTCTTTCTTTCTACAAAAAAAATTTCAAGCGCATTGTGGGTATGGAAGGAACATAGGTAATTTATATTGTATGATACAACTTTTACTTACGTTTGCCAAAACGTTCTCACTTTTCACAAAAACTTTTAAAACAAGGTAATATCACTTCGCAATGATTCCATTGGATACTTTAAGAAGACAGGGTCAATACGAGATTTCAAAGATCGTTCTTGCAATATTAATTATTAAATGTCAAAAATGACTCATGACGTATCAGTGTTGCTATTATATTTATTCCAATTCACCAGTTATGAAATGATTGAAATGTTGTTGGTTGAAATGCCACAACCAATTTTTACGATTTTTAAATATATTTAAGTAGTATGTATAAGAATCAGTCGTAATATATTTTTGAAGAAAAACTTTTTTATCGATGTTGGAAAAAAAAATTACGTAGCGTATGCGTCACCTTTTTCCGTTACGCGCCATCTTTTTCTTGTCCGGCGATTTCGGATCCAATTTATTGATTAGTTCCAAGATTTGTTGTTTGTGAAGTTTACCTACCTCTGAAAACTAACTTCAGGCTTATCGCGTACGTACTGTTATTTATATTAGATAATTTTCACTGTATATTTAATAATTATTGCAGTATTAATTTAGTTATAAATAGAAATTATGCTTTTAAATCATTATTATTTATGTCAAAAACCGTGTAGTGCGTTCATAAAATGTATAAAATTTATATTAATAACAAAAATATATAATAACGATAGCAATGATACTAATAATTATATTACAATTAATGAAATTCTGTAATAATCTTAGTAATAAGGTAAAATTAAATAATTGTATTATTTGTTTTCATGTCTATAATAATAAAAGCCTTTTGTTAAACTTTATCTAATTTAACTTTATTTAACCAATTACTGTAAAGTTGCATATATACTATATTACTATACATTTTTCGAAAAATAACGTCATAAAGAGGTTTCACTTCTTACGTATGCACACTAGTACACGCACACATTTTTTCATACGACAAACTGAAGTTAGTCTTGTACTACTAACTTGGCACTAATTATTTTTTTAATTATAAATGTTCCAACTCAATAGACAGGATTCAGATACCGTAAGCTTTTTTAACGTTACAACGTCTTATAATTCGATGGAGCCGGCTGCACGCAGGAAAAAACATGACTCATGCGGCGTTACCTCGCGGCGTTCCATTTAATGCTTGAAGTGCAAGCGAGAGCGCGGTACGAGCGACAAAAAGGCACAATCGGCCTCCGCGTTCGGCAGCGTTCGACATCTGTGTATTTATGCGACATAATTGTATTTATGCGTACAAATAAATGTAACTTGATCGATTCAATTGTAATTTCCATTTACCTCCTTCTTTAAATCCATACAAAATATCTATCAAAAAAATAAAATTAAAATTTTCTTTTGAAAAATGCAACCATTCCATAAGTATTTTCTTATGACGTTGTCACGTTCAACTATCGTCAGTAAACCAACTTGTCTGTAAAGTTTTTTTAAAGCTGATTTTTTACGTAAATCAGAACGTGTATCGCACCATCAATTAACAGTTGTTTTTAATTACCGATGCACGGAATTCTCCCGTAATTTAAGGTAAATGGATTAAAACGGCAACACAAATTTAAATATGTCGTTAAGATTCTATAAGTGGTTAATGATATTCTGATGACTAATTAATTAATGCTTGAGTGTGGTAAAGATTTGTGTTTTACCTGTTACGGTATACGTAAATATATATTTTTAAATTCAAGTGACAATATGCTATTGTGAAATATCTCGTACCCAAATGGAACGAAAACTTTTTTGTCAAAATAATTTTTTAACCTAGTTTCGACCCAGTTCTTCTGCATGAACATTTCTTTGTTTTTTTTGTATTATTTTTGATTACGGTTCTATAATTTTTATATAAGATTCGTAATACACATCTTGCACTTTACCCATCATATTTTTTGTAGTTTTTTCCCTAACTAGGCAAGCTTATGAATATTGAATGTCAAAAACGTTTACAAAATTCGCGAAAGAGCAAGACGCCATCCGTTCGCAAAACTACCAGGCCTTGTTCTGAGAAGAACGGACAAGAAACTCAGCAAGTTTTACCCTCCCTCTACATTACAATTATTCAAAGGAAAATGTCATAAACCACAACGTCATTAAAGTTACATAAGTAAAAAAAATATAAAAATCTGTTCTGTGATTTACCACATTCACCATTACACACAAATCAAATTATAAGAATAATTACAACTATTGCCAAGCGTATTTATCTTCCAGGTAGTCATTGACTGTGTGACCTTTACACATTAATATTTTTTTAATATGTGTTTTGAATCTGTTTAAAGGCAGTGCCAATATGTCCTTGTTAGCGTTACATCTCTTATAATTATTATTATTTGTATAAATGTAACAAGCAGTTTTGGCCTAGTGGCTTCAGCGTGCGACTCTCATACCTGAGGTCGTAGGTTCGATCCCCGGCTGTGCACCAATGGACTTTCTTTCTTTGTGCTCATTTAACATTTCGCTCGAACGGTGAAGGAAAACATCGTGAGGAAACCGACATGTCTTAGACTTAAAAAGTCGACGGCGTGTGTCAGGCACTGGAGGCCTTGCCTATTAGATTTAAAAACAAATGATCATGAAACAGATTCAGAAATCTGAGGCCAAGACCTAAAAGACCTACCGCCACTGATTTTTTTTTTAATGTAACGAAGTGTTAGTAAATAAAATAAGTAACATTTTGTTTTATTAGTAGATTCACGGTCCAAGCATGAAAGTATAAATCACATCCAGTTGCGTTTTTATGAAAAACTAGCTGGCCTGGCGAACATCGTACCGCCTAACAGTCGATTCTTTTTTTTTTTTAAATACTTATTCTGCTATTCGGGACACCGGTCTAGCTAGTAAGATAAAAAAGAAAGTTGATAAGACAACAAATACATTATGTCAAAAAATAAAAATTTACCTTCCCGGAACCCCTCCACTAACACTTGAACTTTATGATATGGTATTAAAGTTCAAATTGACTTTTAAGTATTATTACGAATATTTTGTATGGGAATATAGAAAAGTGTTGTTTTTAGACATTTTCACTCATTTTTTTTTAATTTTTCTCTCCGTAAGAACCATCCTCGTACTTCAAGGAATATTATTTAAAATGAATCAGACAAATCGGTCAAGCCGTTTTCATGTTATGTCGTGACAACGGAAAACGGGTTTCATTTTTATATATATATAGACTAGTGGACCCGACAGACGTTGTCCTGCATGATATTTCAAGCAATTAGTAAAGCAAAGTATGAAAGTACCGACTGCAGCGCCATCTGGCGGGCTGATTTGTGAATCTAAACCATTCCCAGATCCCCTTGAACACACACAAAAAATTTCATCAAAATCGGTCCAGTCGTTTGAGAGAAGTTCAGTGACATACACACTCACAGAAGAATTATATATATAAAGATACTGACAAATTTTGACTGACTGTTTCATCTCACCTCACTAGAAAAATTAAAAATGTACTTATATATGTTACAGTTAACACTAGTTTTTAGTTAAAACTCGTTTTCCCTAGTTAAAAATAGTTTTTACTAAATGCCTTTGTCAAAACTAGAAATAACAAGTGAAAACTAGAATTTACCACTGATATAATTAATTTTCTGATAAAACTAGTTGTCACTCCGAGCTTTAGTTACAACTAGCACTAGAGAAACTAATTTGAATTTTGGGATTGAAAACAAGATAAAGTTTTAATAATATTTATTAAAAAGATCTAGGGTATAGAAACATTACTATGTATATGGAATGCTCGACAAATTATATTGCAGGTATGTACCTACCTATGTGTTGCTTAATTGTTTTATCATATAATTATATTGCCTTTAGGTAAAAGCTAACTATTTAAATATTGCTTTTCAGGTCAGAATTCGACAAGTGCAAAGAAAAATTTTTGCATGAAGAAGACGTTCCGAATACAAATTTACCTTTGAGAACTGTTGCTAAGGAAGCATCCATAGGAACAGGCCAGGGATTTATGCGCTGCGTATGTAAGAAAGGATGTATGTCAAAAAGGTGTCTCTGCAAGAAAAATGGCTACCTTTGTAATTCAAAATGCCACGATAGTTTGTCTTGCAATAACAAGTAGATCGTCATCTTTTTTAATTTTAAGGTTGTTTGATTATTTTTTTATTGTATGTTTACCAATATCCCTTAAAAATATTATTATAATGTTCCTTTTTTAAATTTTATGGTTGTATTCTGTTGATTTGTTTGATTATTTTATTTACTTTTAATTAATGTTGTCACCTTGGCAACTACTTTATGCTGATATTCCCTAAAATGTTCCTTTAGTGTAAGTTTTTTTTACTAGGTACGGTACTATGTTTCTATACCCTAGATCTTTTTAATAAATATTTTTAAAACTTTATCTTGTTTTCAATCCCAAAATTCAAATTAGTTTCTCTAGTGCTAGTTGTAACTAAAGCTCGGAGTGATAACTAGTTTTATCAGAAAATGAATTATATCAGTGGTAAATTCTAGTTTTCACTTGTTATTTCTAGTTTTGACAAAGGCATTTAGTAAAAACTATTTTTAACTAGGGAAAACGAGTTTTAACTAAAAACTAGCGTTAACTGTAACATATACACGCGTTAGAAGTTATACTTCTCTGGCGTAATAATTTTCTTCGAGCACTTTAGAGGGACGTTTCGAATTTAATTTTTCTTGTCCATTTTAATGATCACTTCCAATCGAAACGATATAATATGTACTAATCATGATATTTTACAATAAACACTAGTTTTTTATCGCATTGGAACGGGATTTCTCGTATAGAAATCATTATTTTGGTTTAAATAAACGTAACTGAAAAACACTACGCCATGACAGACAATGCAACTTGTCGATAATACAGAGCTTGTTACTGTTACTGTTAATACAGAGTTCTACCGACGTATAAACAGATATTCAGGGTGTCGGTTTTTCGTGACGGTGTGCGGGTGTCGGATTTTGTGACGGTGTGCGCGCGCATCTTAAGAATTTATTCTCATTATTCCTTAACGCGCCAAAAGAAGTATAACTTCAAAAAGTTTTTCCCATATGTCCCAGCACTTTTTAGCTCATTGATATGTCGAAAAATTGTCCAATCCAAAAAGCCTAGACTTCTAGGTACTTACCTGCAAGCAGACCATAATATGTGGACTGTGAACGTGTAGGGCTTTCCGTCTCATATAGTATGTGGAAAGTCAACCTGTTAATATATATTATTGATTAGAATTAAAAGTAAATAGCAATAATATGATAAACCCTAAGCCGTTAATATCTTTATTGCATCTGTAAAGTACATACATACATATAAAGTTACACATCATTTACGTTCTCTGTAATACGTTAATGTATTATAGATTATCTGTGGTATATAAATAATAAACAATAGACGACTAGACTAGAATTTTCTTATACTCTATTACTATTCAAATATGGAACAATTATTGACTGAAACTAAAATGGCGGTTGTATCTGTTGAATTTTGCTATATATTTTCGAAGGATTTTATTTTTTCGTAATGGGGCGAGGGGCAGACTCATTTTCGCAACTGTAAATTCCCAAAAGTACCAAAGAGCTTGAAACCAAAGCCCAAAGCCCAAGGAAACCTTACCGTATTGCCTTAGGTTTATTAATTAGGTTTACTAATTATAGCATCAAGAGATAATAAAATACATCAACTAAGTTCATTAATTTTAATTAACTTTATTATATACTAATTAAGTTATCAATCAATATAAACTTCCGGTCTGTATTTAATTAAACCAAAAATAAATGAGATAACAATACAACATTAAAAAGGTGGATGATATCACAAGATAATTTTCGTAAGTGTATGTAGACCACAAATAATTTTATAAGAAGAGTATGATAGTACGAAAAACGTGGACGGTTCACACAAAAAAAAGCGATCCATAGAAACTCAACAAAAATATTTAAACAGACTGCGTATCAAAGTCAGAAGAGGGGCGGAGAAGAGGAGAAGTAGGCATAGAGGATGGTAAAAGTATGAATTGTATAAAGCTAATTAAAACCAAAAAAAGTCCGTAGAAACAAACAAAAAAAGTGCGTGCGTACAAAGTACACATCTCAGAAGTGAAACTTCTTTGGCAAACTAATTTTTAGATTTCCGAGACTTAGAGGGAGGGAAAAAGGAAGATATAGTATTGTCTTTGATTAACATAACTCATTTAAATAAAACACTATTTTGACCGGATTGAAGTTATGTATTATTATAAATTTACAACTATTTAACATAATTTTTAATTTATCCGACGTTTCGCGTGCTTTACAGCGTGCGTGGTCACGGTGACTGAAGAAAAAGATGTTGAATGTCAAGAAGTATCACAGCTGCAGAGAAAGTTGCATTATCTGTATTTATTTCCCCGGAGTTGGTATCGACTGATGGAGAGATGGAGGGTTTTGGCAAAAATGGCTCACGGTGTCCTCTATTTTCGCGGATTGTGTTTCTTTTTGAGATTTTAATTTGGATATTATTGGATCCCAGGTGTTTGACAATTTTAGGCCGTCTTCTCTATTGAAATTGGAATTAAAATTATGTTAAATAGTTGTAAATTTATAATAATACATAACTTCAATCCGGTCAAAATAGTGTTTTATTAAAAGGAAGATATATGTTAGAAGTTTAATGAATTTAATTGTCATTAAAATATTAAAAGTGTCGAAAATTAATACAAAATATAAATTCTTTTTTAAATTTGTTTCTTCGATACTAAAAACATGTGGCATTTTAATTTACAATTGCGATTTTAATATTTTGCATGTAATATAAAATACTAATATTTCATAAATTCTCTTTACGAAAATTTAATTTTAAAAATAGAATTTCTATAAGGTTATTCGCCCGTCTCACTCTCTCAATCGGTCTCAATCGCTCCCTCCCTTTTCTTGGACGAAAACGCTGCACATCTTCGTGACTCATGCGCCTAAAGAAGTTTCACTTCAAAAATATAATAGCGATCTATAAAAAGCAAAAAAAATATAACAGACTGCAAATCAAAGTCAGAAAAGACCAGGGGAAGAGGAGAAGCAGGCACAGAGGATGGTAAAAGTATGAATTGTAACAAACAATGAAAAACATGTGGTGCTGACGCAAAAAAAAATTCGATAGCAATCCATAGAAACGCCGCAAAAACATAGTCGGAACACTAGCCCGAAGACTTTAGTGTTTTTTTAAAGTTGTTGGCTTGAAGATGACAATTTAGCTCGTTCCCCTCTAGAAGCGCAGTTTCCCAGTTTCCCAACGGAATCCAGAGGTTGATATCGTAAAATTGTAGATGTCGCAAGGAACCCAAATGTCTAATAACTTCTGTAATTAATGACGTAGCGAATAAATTCGGGAGGATAAAATTATCCTTGTGTTATCAATCTTGGAAAACAATGTCATGACTATAGAGTCCTGTGACTTGGTCTGTTGATTATAATAACTGCTTGAATTAATGAAAATGAAACTGAATTTAAATAACCTTGTCTATTGGTTAAAAATTACCTTTTTCATGATTATTTGTCAATCTAATAATCAAGTAGGTGATCAACCTCCTGTAGACACACGCCGTCCGCAGTTGGGTCTAAGGCAAGCCGGTTTCCTCACGATGTTTTCTTTCACCGTTCGAGTGAATGTTGATTGCGCACATAGAGAAAGACCTCAAGATTCGCACGCTGAAGCCACATTGCTCATAATATTAAAAAAAAACGTTAAATGGAAAGATAATTTAGCTGTTACATTGATTTTTCTTACAAATATTTGCGGAATTTTGGGATCATTTCAAAAGACTCTTAAAAGGCTTGCCAAAATCCAATTTTGAGGTACGGAAGACAGACTTAGTGTTTAATTTCGTCTCTGAATCTTATCTTCTTAGGTTGAAAAACTTAAGACAATGGTTTGGTCAAAGCACCAAGTCAGTGTTTAGAAGCGCGGCATCCAAAATTAAAATAGCCTTGATGATCGCCAACCTTCGCAAGGAGATGGCACTATAAGAAGAAGAGTTACGTAACCTACCATTAGTTATGTTACTAATATATATTATATATATTGTAGTGTTAATAATTAGAAGCGCAATATGTTAACAACCATCTTACACTTGTAGCCAATAAATTGTATGTCACTTTAGTAAAAAAAACCCTTTAGTTTTTCTACACTCATATATTGTTATATAACGTTCTCGTTTCCGATAATGTACAATAGACATCACTGATATTCTTTCTAGGTAACTTAGATTTAAGAAACCTTAAATAAGTCATGTTTAGTCCAACTTTGCAACACCTATTTTTATGTTAGTTATAAGCTCATGTTTTAAACGATTAAAGACAGTTACTCTTCGAACAAAGTGTTTCATTTGAATCTCCCTCAACAACAGCCTTGCGATTCTGTAACTCACTTTTCGAACTCACACAGCGGTTTTCGCACGTTAGTTACAGAATCGCTAGGCAGCCATCGAAATAAACTCGATCCAGGAAATTATTTTATGTATGCTTTAGCATGACCACTATTTTATTATATTATATTTCGATCTATAAATTCAGGATTCATTTGAAACGCCACTAGTATATCAAACGGCGACCTTGCAGCAATGTTGAAGTAAGTGTCTCATTTGTTTAATAAAATAATAATTCAGTAGCACAACTCTTTGTATTGGCGTCAGATTGGGTGTTTCTTCTAACAGCCATCAGATCATTCAGTGCCTATATTTAGTTCTAACGGTTAGATTCATAAATAGGATTTAGTGTCTGACCACTGTACGTCAAACATTTATTTAATTATGACCTTCGGTAGTCTGTATTCGCGCTATTCTGAATTCAACTCTAAGACTGGTTTCCTAATGATATTTACTACCACTGTAAGAGCAAGTGCACAGCCAGTGGTACAACAAGGTTAAAGTCACGCTTTTGTTACTATTTAATTTTAAAGTTAATTAGTATATGAATAATAAATGATTGATTATTGAAATACTCGAAATATCTTTCAATTAAATATTTAATGAAATGTTAAAGCTATTTCTTATGTATCGCATTAAAATCGAAATCGAAATCGAAAATTAATACAAATTTAAAAAGTTTGGTCTCTGTGGCAGTGTACCTTTAATGCTGGCAGCATTTCCTCGCTGTATTGCGTTAAGCGAGGAAAGCACTAGCTCTGGGGTGACCGGTACTAAAAATTAGTGCGTTTTTAAATTTAAAAATAAGTAAATAATATATCTGTATTGCGAATGTTGATAACGAATAGACAATAATATAAGTATAGTAAATGGAAGCAAGTTATCTTCCAAATATTGTTGAAGATGAAATAAAACACTAATGATAATATTAAATGAAGGTTGATATGAATTAAATTAATTCAATTTCAGGTTCCTTGTGATTTGCGTGCTGGCCGCGTGTTGCCACGCCCAAAACTCTGCTGAATCATTGCTCTCTCGGATTGAGGAGCATCAAGACAGAGCGGAAACTTTGAGTGATATAGAAACAAGGAAGTCAGAAACAGAACTAGCAGAAGAAGATGGAAGTGCCGGCGAAGTAGAAGAAGCGATAATGGAAAGTGTTTATCCGACTGTAAATCCGAGTGACTACGATGAAGGGTACATGAATGGATTGGCGAGCTATTTTTACGTACCCAAGAAATAGAAAATGATTCTAAATAACTTGTGAATGTAGTTAACAGTGCCATAAAATATGTCATAAATAAACGGCCGATTGTTTTATTAATAATTAATGCCATTTTAGTAGCTATACGGGGCTTTTAATTTTTAAAGACGTTAAGGAATTTAATCTTCTTTAGTATAAGAAGAAAACCATTAATTTAATACACATAAAAATAACATAATTAATGGCGCTACAACCTTTTTAGGTCTGGGCCTCAGATTTTTGTATCTGTTTCATGTTTTCCATTATCATTTCGATCGAGCGAATGTCAAATGCGCACACAGAAAGAAAGTCCATTGGTGCACAGCCGGGGATCGAACTTATACCTCAGTAATGTGAGTCACACGCAGAAGCCACTAGGCCAACACAGTTCATTCATTCATACATTTTATTAGTTACTAGCTGCCTTCGCGAACTTCGCTTCTACCTGATGCGTAGCCTTCGTAGCGTAGTTGGTATAGTACCTATTTAGTTCATACCAACATGGAACATTTTGCTATGCTAACCCAGAGACTGATCGGTTTCCCGGAATGAAAACTTTTTAGGCTTTTCTGTGTATCTCTATATAAACCTCAGAGTTCATGTTATAAGTTCTTAACTTACAAACAAATTAAGAAATGAAAATTAAGGGTTATATATGTATTTTTGTATGCTGTATCATAAAAAAATAAAAACAAAAAAATATATAAAACAATATATACAATATATATAGGAAAATATATAAATATATTTTCTTTTCAATCAAATATCTTGGTCTCCCTACCAAAGTCTAATACGTCTTGTTCCTAGGAACGTTTAGGAAACTCGTTTAACGTTTCGTTCACTCCCTTTCAGACGGAACTTTAGCGATTTGATTGGATATTGATCTTTAATTAACTGTCTAGAGATTCAATTAACTCTCTGATTTTACTACTTTACTGCGACATAGATAGGAGCTGACCCGGCAAATGTTTGTTTTGCCATGAATATTGTTTCTAGGAAACGTTTTTTAATATGATAATATATTAAAAATAATTAAATAAAAAATAAAAAAAATAAAAAATTTCTAAAAAATAAAAAGCAATTGGGGTGGTCACCCCTTATGACTTAGGGGTTTGAAAGATAGATAGTAGACGATTCTCAGACTTACTGAATGTGCATAAAAAAATCATAAGAATCGGTCGAGCCATTTCGGAGCAGTATGGGAGCGAACATTGTGGCACGAGAATTTTATATATTAGACTAGCAGCCTCGGCCAAGGGTTGCTGGCTACATTGTTATATTACATAGGAGTTAACTATTCAAGGGAAACGGTGGGAGAACACCAGTCATGGGGACCAACATGCTTTTTTGGTGGTTATGTCATTAAATCGTAGCTTATATAAAACGTTGGTAATTTCAACACAGCGCCATCTGTTAGACTTGTGACTTTCTAATAATAAACAAATAATTGGCAATAAAATAATGTTGCGGGTATAAATTAAGATGTAAGCTATTCTATCTTTTAAGTTTTTTAAAGCGGTTAAGTAGTTTAGAAGTCCATAGCGGACAAACAACGTGACGCGTAATTTATATATATTAAGATAAGAAATCCAAATTCTGGGGCTTTTACCAAAAAGATAACGTTGTTGTTTTCTAAGGCCATCCTCAGTAAGATAATACCTAAAAACGGATTGTGTGGTTTTATGAAACCATTTAACTAAATTTTTTTTGGAATAATATTCCATTAAGGGTATAATAATCGCTTTATCAATCTTAATTTTATACTTGGAAAATTGGAATAATAATGGGTAATAATAAAGTGACTAAGTCTCCAACTAATATTTTTATTGAACTCTGTCTTAGAGAGTACGACATACACAATACTTAAGAATTATTTAGATTATATACAAATATTAATGACAATTATTAAGCTACAATTTAATGGCATAACCACCAAAAAAGCATGGTGGATTGGGGTTCTCCTGCCTTTTCTCTTGATTAGTTTACTACTATGTAATATAACAAAAATCTTAGCCACAGCAACGCTTGGCCGAGTCTACTAGTTAATAATTAAAACAATTATAGGCTTCTGAGACTTCTTCTAAAGTTTGTTTGCTCAGGTAGTAAATATGTATAAAAATGCTATCACTCAAAGATTCTTAGAATCTTCAATTAAATGATAGTGGTCAGCCAACCTGAGACAACGGCAGAATGGCCGGCCACTTTATTTCTTCATTATGTTCTTTAATGCAGAGGTAGCAATTGCGTCTTTGAAGGTAGCAAATAGTATCAAATAGGTAGAGAAATACGGCGTATAGTTTGATTGCGATATCAAATTTGGTCAGCCAACCTGACGGTCACCCAAAATGCAGTGTCACAATTTTTTTTCTTATACTCTATTACTATTCAAATATCGAACAATTATTGATAAACTAAAATGGCGGTTGTATCGCTTATGTATTGAATTTTGCTATATATTTTTGAAGGATTTTATTTTTCCTAATGGGGCAGACTTATCTACGCAACTGCAAATTCCCAAAAGTACCAAAGAGCTTGAAACCAAGGCTCAAAGCCCAAGGAAACCTTACCTTATTGCCTTACGTTTATTAATTAGGTTTACTAATTAGCATCTAGAGATAATAAATAACCATTGCATCAACTAAGTTCATTAATTTTAATTAACTTTATTTTATACTAATTAAGTTATCAATCAATAGAAACTTCCCTTTTCCCTCCCTAATTTTGTATTTAATTAAACCAAAAATAAATGAGATAACAATACAACATTTAAAAGGTGGATGATATCACAAGCTTATTTTCGTAAGTGTATGTAGACCACAAATATTCTTATAAGAAAAGTATGAAAGTGATGAAAAACGTGGATGGTTGACACAAAAAAAAATATAGCGATCCATAGAAATGCAACAAAAATATTTAAACTGACTGCGTATCAAAGTCAGAAGAGGCGCGGAGAAGAGGAGAAGTAGGCATAGAGGATGGTAAAAGTATGAATTGTATGAAGCTAATTAAAACCAAAAAAAGTCCATAGAAACAAACAAAAAAAGTGCGTGCGTACAAAGTACACATCTCAGAAGTGAAACTTCTTTGGCAAACTAATTTTTAGATTTCCGAGACTTAGAGGGAGAGAAAAAGGAAGATATGTTAGAAATTTAATGAATTTAATTCACTAAAATATTAAAAGTGACGAAAATTAATACAAAATATAAATTCTTTTTTAAATTTGTTTCTTCGATACTAAAAACATGTTGCATTTTAAATTACAATTCGTAATTTGCGATTTTAATATTTTGCATGTAATATAAAATACTAATATTTCATAAATTCTCTTTACGAAATTTTAATTTTAAAAATAGAATTTCTATAAGGTTATTCGCCCGTCTCACTCTCTCAATCGGTCTCAATCGCTACCTCCCTTTTCTTGGACAAAAACGCTGCACATCTTCGTGACTCATGCGCCTAAAGAAGTTTCACTTCAAAAATATAATAGCGATCCATAGAAAAGCAAAAACAATATAACAGACTGCAAATCAAAGTCAGAAAGGGCAAGGGGAAGAGGAGAAGCAGGCACAGAGGATGGTAAAAGTATGAATAGTATGAGGCTAATGAAAAACATGTGGTGGTGATGCAAAAAAAAATCTATAGAAACGCAACAAAAACATAGTCGGAACGAGGCCTTGGCGAGTGCCCGAAGGCCACAGTGTTTTTTTAAAGTTGTTGGCTTGAAGGAGATGACAGTTTAGCTCGTTCCCCTCGAGTAGCGCAGTTTCCCAGTTTCCCAACGGAATCCAGCCTTGCAATTCTGTAACTCACTTTTCGAACTTACACAGCGGTTTTCGCATCGGCGGTCGCTATCATAATCATAAAATGACTGCTTCACGACTTATTTCAGAGCGACCGCCGATGCGAAAACCGCTGTGTGAGTTCGAAAAGTGAGTTACAGAATCGCAGGGCAGTGGTTGCTTTCGTGAAATTGTAGTTGTCGCAAGGAACCCAAATGTCTAATAACTTCTGTAATTAATGACGTAGCGAATAAATTCGGGAGGATAAAATTATCCTTGTGTTATCAATCTTGGAAAACAATGTCATGACTATAGAGTCCTGTGACTTGGTCTGTTGATTATAATAACTGCTTGAATTAATGAAAATGAAACTGAATTTAAATAATCTTGTCTATTGGTTAAAAATTACCTTTTTCATGAACATTTGTCAATCTAATAATCAAGTAGGTGTTCAAACTCCTGTGCCTTACACACGCCGTCGTCTTTTTGGGTCTAAGGCAAGCCGGTTTCCTCACGATGTTTTCTTTCACCGTTCGAGTGATGTTGATTGCGCACATAGAGAAAGACCTCAAGATTCGCACGCTGAAGCCACATTGCTCATAATATTAAAAAAAAACGTTAAATGGAAAGATAATTTAGCTGTTACATTGATATTTCTTACAAATTTTGGGATCATTTCAAAAGACTCTTAAAAGGCTTGCCAAAATCCAATTTTGAGGTACGGAAGACAGACTTAGTGTTTAATTTCGTCTCTGAATCTTATCTTCTTAGGTTGAAAAACTGAAGACAATGGTTTGGCCAAAGCACCAAGTCATTGTTTAGAAGCGCGGCATCCAAAATTAAAATAGCCTTGATGATCGCCAACCTTCGCAAGGAGATGGCACTATAAGAAGAAGAGTTACGTAACCTACCATTAGTTATGTTACAAATATATATTATATATATTGTAGTGTTAATAATTAGAAGCGCAATATGTTAACAACCATCTTACACTTGTAGCCAATAAATTGTATGTCACTTTAGTAAAAAAACCCTTTAGTTTTTCTACACTCATATATTGTTATATAACGTTCTCGTTTCCGTTACAAATATATATTATATATATTGTAGTGTTAATAATTAGAAGCGCAATATGTTAACAACCATCTTACACTTGTAGCCAATAAATTGTATGTCACTTTAGTAAAAAAAACCCTTTAGTTTTTCTACACTCATATATTGTTATATAACGTTCTCGTTTCCGTTACAAATATATATTATATATATTGTAGTGTTAATAATTAGAAGCGCAATATGTTAACAACCATCTTACACTTGTAGCCAATAAATTGTATGTCACTTTAGTAAAAAAACCCTTTAGTTTTTCTACACTCATATATTGTTATATAACGTTCTCGTTTCCGTTACAAATATATATTATATATATTGTAGTGTTAATAATTAGAAGCGCAATATGTTAACAACCATCTTACACTTGTAGCCAATAAATTGTATGTCACTTTAGTAAAAAAAAACCCCTTTAGTTTTTTCTACACTCATATATTGTTATATAACGTTCTCGTTTCCGATACAAATATATATTATATATATTGTAGTGTTAATAATTAGAAGCGCAATATGTTAACAACCATCTTACACTTGTAGCCAATAAATTGTATGTCACTTTAGTAAAAAAAAACCCCTTTAGTTTTTTCTACACTCATATATTGTTATATAACGTTCTCGTTTCCGATAATGTACAATAGACATCACTGATATTCTTTCTAGGTAACCTAGATTTAAGAAACCTTAAATCTAAGTTACGTTAAGTCATGTTAAGTTAGTCCAACGTCGCAACCCCTAATCTTATGTTAGTTATAAGCTCATTTTTTAAACGATTAAAGACAGTTACTCTTCGAACAAAGTGTTTCATTTGAATCTCCCTCAACAACAGAATTGCGATTCTGTAATTCACTCTTCGAACTCACACAGCGGTTTTCGCACGTTAGTTACAGAATCGCTAGGCAGCCATCGAAATAAACTCGATCCAGGAAATTATTTTATGTACGCTTTAGCATGACCACTATTTTATTATATTATATTTCGATCTATAAATTCAGGATTCATTTGAAACGCCACTAGTATATCAAACGGCGACCTTGCAGCAATGTTGAAGTAAGTGTCTCATTTGTTTAATAAAATCATAATCCAGTGGCACAAGTTCTCTTTCTATTAGCGTCAGATTGGATGTTTCTTCTAACAGCTATTAGATCATTCAGTGCCTAAATTTAGTTCTAACGGTTAGATTCATAAATAGGATTTAGTGTCTGACCACTGTACGTCAAACATTTATTTAATTATGACCTTCGGTAGTCTGTATTCGCGCTATTTTGAATTCAACTCTAAGACTGGTTTCCTAATGATATTTACTACCACAGTAAGAGCAAGTGCACAGCCAGGTACAATAAGGTTTAAGAGTCACGCTCTTGTTACTTTTTTAAAAGTTTAATTAGTATATGAATAATAAATGATTGATGATTTTTACAGGAAATACTCGATTAATCTTTCAATTAAATATTTAATGAGTTAAAGCTATTTCTTATGTATCGCATACAGCGAGGAAATGCTGCCAGCGTTAAAGGTACACTGCCACAGGGACCAAACTTTTTAAATTTGTTTCATTTTCTTTTTAATAGTTTTTATTATTACTTTGTCGGTTAAGAAATACAAAATACGAATACTTAGACACAAATATACATTATTAACAATTTTCTAAACCTACATAGTAATTATTAATACAAATTTAAAATATTTGGTCCCAGCGGCAGTGTACCTTTAACGCTGGCAGCATTTGCTCGCTGTATTGCGTTTAACAGGGAAAGCACTAGCTCTGGGGTGACCGGTACTAACAATTAATGCGTTTTTAAATTTAAAAATAAGTAAAATAAGTAAGTAATTGTGAGATACCTGTATTTGCGAATGTTGATAACGAATAGACAATAATATAATTAATAAACAGGTTGTTTTAAAAATATTGTTGAAGATGTAATAAAACACCAATGTTAATATTAAACGAAGGTTCATATGAATTAAATTAATTCAATTTCAGGTTCCTTGTGATTTGCGTACTGGCCGCGTGTTGCCACGCCCAAAACTCTGGTGAATCATTGCTCTCTCGGATTGAGGAGCATCAAAACAATTTGCGTAATTGGGAAGAAGAGAACTCGCGATTGTTAACAACTCTATTGGAAAAACGCAAAATATACGATCATGTTAAACATAATGAAGCGAAGCTCTTGGAAGTTGTCGATTACTTGGTCAAAAAGAACATGGAAATCTTACAAAACGTTGTTAGTGAACTGAATACGATACATATTAATATGGACAAAGATGTAGACGGAGCGGAATCTTTGAGTGAATTAGACATGAAGGCGTTAGAAAATGAACTAGCTGAGGACGAAGAAACTGTGACACATACAGACGAAAATCAGGAAAGTAATGAAGACGGAGCAGAAAGTTTGAGTGATACAGAAACAAGGAATTTAGAAAGTGAACTACCAGAGGAAGATGGAATTGCCGGCGAAGTCGAAGAAGCGAAAGTGGAAAACAATGAAGATGGAGCAGAAACTTTGAGTGATATAGAAACAAGGAATTTAGAGAGAGAACTAGCGGAGGGAGATGGAATTGCCGGCGAAGTAGAAAAAGGGAATGTGGAAAGTGATGGTCCGAATGTAAACCTTGACAGTGACAACGATGAAAATCCCAAAAGTGACGAGTACCCAGTTTATGACGATGCAATAAATTGGTACCGGTATCCACCAAATAGAAAATGATTCTAAATAACTTGTGAATGTAGTTAACAGCGCCATAAAATATGTCATAAATAAACGGCTGATTGTTTTATTAATAATTATTAATGCCATTTTAGTAGCTATACGGGGCTTTTAATTTTTAAAGACGTTAAGGAATTTCATCTTCATTAGTATAAGAAGAAAACATTTATTAGTATAATTTATTACAAACATTCATTAGTATAATTTAATAGACAAAAAAATAAAATAATTAATAGCGCAACCTTTTTAGGTCTGGGCCTCAGATTTTTGTATCTGTTTCATGTTTTCCATTATCATTTTGATCGAGCGAATGTCAAATGCGCAGATAGAAAGAAAGTCCATTGGTGCTCAGCCGGGGCTCGAACTTATACCTCAGTAATGTGAGTCGCACGCAGAAGCCACTAGGCCAACACAGTTCATTCATTCAAACATTTTATTAGTTACTAGCTGCCTTCGCGAACTTCGTTTCTACTTAATGCCTATAGACCAGTGCAGATAGCCTTCAAAATAAATAAAAAGTGAAAAAAATTACAGTAGGATGAAACCCATTAGAAAAGCAGGGGAATATGATCAAAATAATAGGAAAAATAAATTACGGTCGATCTGAGGTCGGGAAGGGGTAGGGGGGGGCGTTTTAAGGGTAAAAAACGGTTTATCTCGATTTCCGGCAAAACTAAAAGTCCTATCGAAGAAAGTTAAATGGCAAAGTTGTAGGTAATAAAAAGATCTACAACTTTTGTATTCACACATTTTTCACATAACCTCAAAATTTATGTGAAAAATTCAAAAAACCAAGTTTTTGGTTTTTAATTTTTATCTTCTATAAATTTCTTTTTTTTTTAACGAAATTTGGTGAAAACTTATTATGTCCCAAATATACTGTAATTTATTTGATTAAAAATATTTATTTTTTCACCTTATTTTGAATTAATATCGAAAAAACACCCTAATTTTCAATCGAAAATTCTGACGTCAAAATTTCAGCTTTTTTCAAAAAGTTGGTGTGCTTTCAGTTCGTTGAAATCTCTACTTTCCTATGGTAAAGAAATATATATATATTACATAGTAAATCTTCTCAGAAAATGCAAAACATCGTATGCAGTAACGCCCAGACCCGTCATACCCTTCCCTACTTCTAAACTAGTAGACCAGTGCCGATAATTCAAAAATTATCGGCACTGGTCTACTAGTCTACCTATTTAGTTCATACCAACATGGAACATTTTGCTATGCTACCCCAGAGACTGAACGGTTTTCTGAAATGAATACTTTTTGGGTTATTCTGTGAATTTTCCTCTATATAATCCTCAGAATTAAAGGCATTAATTAACAAATAATAATAGAGTTGATCGTAGAGGGGAGAAAAATTAAGGGTTGTTTGTATTTTTGTAAGCAAATTCTCAGACTCACAGAATATGCATAAAACAATCATAAGAATCGGTCGAGCCGTTTCGGAGGAGTATGGACGATCATTGTGTTACGAACTTTTGTACAACGTTACGATGCGGGGCGGGGATTGAATTAAGCCGTTATTGTTAATATTATTTTCGACTTTCCAGTACTTTACACTTCATTATGGTAACATTTAGGTATAAAGAGTCACTGGGTCACGAAACGTTTCACTACGGGTTGGCTCCCATTGGATCCAGAGAGTCCAAGGGATACACCAGCCACGTGCCCAGCTTCCGCTTGACCATGGAGAGTGTTCAGAGGAGTTGTTCGGAGTAATACCATCAGCTGAGTTTTATCATCGGACGTCGAGGCAGAATACGAAATTCCACCGTCCGTCGTTCCACAACTGAGCGTTTTTCACCACGCGCACCATCACTATGTGGAACCAGCGGCCCACTGAAGTATTTCCGAACCAATTCGACTTAGGTTCCTTCAAGAAAAGAGCGTACCAATTCTTAAAAGGCCGGCAACACACTCGCGTGCCCTTTGGCATTGAAAGTGTCCATGGGCGGCGGTACCACTTAACATCAGATGAGCCTCCTGTCCGTTTGCGCCTTGTTCTATAAAACAAAATATTATATATACCTATTATTTATTTATTTTAAGCCTTATCTTAATTCCCAATACAAAAATATCTAATTATCTCATGTGCTAGTGAATGAATATCTATTACAGTTAGTAAGTATCAGGAACCCTCTCCGGTAAAGGCCTCCTCCAAGGCTTGCCATCTTTCGCTTCTTCTTCTTTTAGTGCCTCTCCATTACTGGAGGTTGGCCGTCAGTATCTTGAAGCGTGTCTTGTCCTGTGCATTAGACTTTTTCATGATTACTGACTACTAGGGAAAAATATTGAGCAGTGGTTTCCCGTTGCCTTCTGCCCCAGACTTTTAAGGGATTATTTCCTCCCAAGGTCGCTGTAGCCTCTACTAATCCGTTGTCGGATCAGGTATGTGGTTATACCGCCACTGTTCGGTCGCCAGAGCCTCGTCCGTTATCTAGCAGGGAGCACCACGATACAAGGTATCGCCGCAGTGTCGCGCGTGCAGGTGAGGTTGACAATTGGGCCGGGCAAGATGTTAGTTCCGTTCTCCCCTTACTCCCCAATTGACCTAGTCCCATGTTAAGCTGGTGAAGCTTGTATTATGGGTACTAGGCAACGGATATACATACATATTATAGATAGACTAAATGCTGTATCATAAAAAATATTTTTTTTTTTAAATTATGATTTTAAAAAATAATTTAGGGGTGGACTACTCTTAAAATTTAGGGGGATGAAATAGATGTTGTCCGATTCTCAGACATACCCAATATGCACACAAAATTTCATGAGAATCGGTCAAGCCGTTTCGGAGGAGTTTAACTACAAACACCGCGACACGAGAATTTTATATATTAGATTAAACTACTAGTTTTATATCTACTAAAATATTTAAGTGCATTAAATGTCATATTATTAAATTATTAATTTTCCCCCAAAAGCATAATACATATATAATTACATTACTTATATATACAGAATGACATTAGTTATATATTGCTATTGTAGAACACAAGTTTGTGTGTTTGTTTTATACTTTATATCGGGTTTCTTGTGAATAAATACAAAATACCATCCGTATCACCTGGACGTTCCACAATTGAGCGTTTTTTAAGACAGTTTTTGCCGCGCACCACCACTATGTGGAACCAGCTGCCCACTGAAATATTTCCGAACCAATTCTACTTAGATCCTATATAGGCCGGCCGACGGCCGACGTACTTGCGAGACTTCTGGAAATGTGAGTGTCCATGGGCGGCGCACACCAGGTGGGCCTCCTGCCCGTTCGCCACCTAATACATAAAAAAAAATAGCGCTGGAAACTTCTAATAGTTAGCGATACCGATAGTGCGTGCATTAGCCAGCGTCAAGTATAAGATTTTTATAATTCGTGGTTGCCTTAGAAATTCGACCGTGTCCTCCATGTACGGTTTAAGCACTCGCCCGGTACCGCACAACCCTCCCAAAGGCTGAGGACAAATTTAAATTAAATTAAAACTTGCCCTCGAAGTCTCATCCTATCCCTCACCTAGCTGCCACTTAATAAGACCGCTAGGCTATGAGGCCCTTATGGTACATTCTTAACAGCGATGTCAGTGGTTGTCGTGGGTTAGAAGTACGAATTACCACCCGTATCACCACGACGTCCGTCGTTCCACAACCGAGCGTTTCTTCCCAAACCAATTTGTCTTCCTTCAAGAAAAGAGCGTACCAATTCTTAAAAGGTCCAGAACGTAACGCGAGCCCTCTGGCATTGAGAGTGTCCATGGGGGATGGTATCACTTAACATCAGATGAGCCCCCTGCCCGATTGGCCCCTGTTCTATTAAAAAGGGGCCTTGAAATTGATACGATACCAAGTCGAGTATGGTATGGTATGGTATGGTTTGTGGACTCGTTTTCCGCACTTAGACGCTCACTAGGTCCGTTGTACGTGAGCCCTGGCTAACTAAGCCAGCCTAACTCCTTCCAGAAGCACAGAAGCTTCCTGGGCACTTCGCAGGCTTCTCGGAGCGACCTCACTGTTCCGAGGATTTCTGTACGTTGTTTAGCCACAGCCTCGCACTCCAGGACTACGTGGGTGACTGTTTCCTCTGCGTTGAAACAGCCTCTGCACATGGGGCTGTCTGTCGCGCCTAGGACATAAAGGTGTTTATTAAGGAGGCAATGGCCCGTGATTGTCCCTATCATTATTTTGAGGTTATTTCTGGTTAGATTTAAAAGTTGTTTAGTCATTCTTGTGTTAGTCACTGGCAGAACCAATTTGGATTGCCTGCAGTCCACACTTGATGACCAACGTTGGTGCTGGAGTTCCTCAGATCTCTGGCGAATCCATGTTCGCACTTGCGAGAAGGGCAAGGGTAGGAGCGGATACGGGCCTGCCGGCAACATTTCCGAGCCTCTCCTCGCAAGCTCATCGGCTGCGTCATTGCCGAGAGATCTGCTGTGTCCCTTAATCCACTGTAGGGTGACCCTGTTCGTCAGGGCTAATGCCTCCAGTGCATTGTGGCACTCCAGCACCAGTTTGCTGTTTGTCGTGTCACCCCCTAACGCCATCAGCACAGACGCGCTGTCGGATACGAGCTTAATACAAAAGTTATTAACTCCCAACCGCTTTACGCCTCTGGCTGCTTCGGTTAGGGCAACACACTCGCATTGAAAAATCGAACTGTGTATGCCTAGGGGTAGGTGTGTTTTGATGTTGAGATCTTGAGAGAATATGCCAGCACCGGAGCCGCTCCCTGTCTTTGAGCCATCAGTGTATATGCGTAGCTCGTTCGCGGTCGATCGATCACATTCCTCTTCTCTCAGTTGTACATGGTATTTCTTGTTTAGCATGTGTTGATTAACAATCCTATCGCATGGCGCAGCTATTAGCGGTTGGTATTCTATTGCCCTGTTTAGGATCGCTGTGTGTGTGCTGTAATGATTTTTACCCCATAAATCCAGTACCATAAGCCTGATGGCCGCCAATGCTGCCTCCTGCTGTATGTGTATGTCAAGGGGTGCAACTTGGAGGGCTAGCTCCAATGCTGAAGTTGGCGTTGTTTTCATGCAACCACTGGCAGCGGACAAGGCAAGCCTTTGGAAGCGCCCAAGTTTAGTTATTACTGTTTGGAGTTCTGTCCTCGGCCACCAGACTAGGGCTCCATAAGCCAGCATTGGCCTGATTACGGCAGTGTAGAGCCATAGCGTAATCTTAGGCGATAAGCCCCATTTGACGCCTAGCATCTTTTTACATTGATAAAAGGCAATCGTGGCCTTGTTTAGTTTATGTTCAAGGTGTTTGTTCCAAAGCAGTTTGCTGTCTAGAATCACACCTAGGTACTTGACGTTTTCTTTTAGTTTTAGTTCTGAGTTGAAGAGTTTTGGTAGCCTGTACGAGCCAAGAACCCTTCGGTTTGTGAACAAGACTAGTTCCGTTTTTGACGGGTTGACAGATAGCTCGTGCTGATTGCACCATCTCTCAATTACTCTGAAAGCCTTCCTCATGCGATCACATAAGGTGCTTTCAAAGTTCCCCGATGTTAGGATAGCTATATCATCCGCATACCCTACTGTGTAGAGATTGATAGCGTTTAGTTCTGTGATGAGCTCATTTACCACTAGATTCCACAAAAGTGGTGAAAGGACACCGCCCTGTGGGCAACCCCTGCTGACAACACCACGCGTGGTGGTGTTCACGGTGAACTGTATGGCTCGATGTTTCAGCATGTTATTTATCCACTCTGTAAGGGTCGATGGTACTCCACAAGTGACAAGTGCATTGGTAATGCTCGTGAAGTTCGTTTTGTCAAATGCACCTTCAATGTCAATGAATGCGCCGAGGGTTGACTGCTTTATTTTCAGTGAGTTGCCAATGCGGGATACTACGTTATGGAGTGATGATTCTGTTGATTTGCCTGAGCTGTAGGCATGCTGATTAGGATGGAGGAATTTAGCCAATGTTACCCGACTGCGTATCTCCAGGTCTCCCAGTCTCTCCAGTGTTTTGAGGAGAAATGATGTGAGACTGATGGGTCTGAAGGACTTTGCTTGGGTATAGTCCTCTCTTCCTGGTTTAGGTATAAAAATGATTTTTACTTCTCTCCATTTCAGAGGTATATAGCGGTGAGCTATGCAGGCACCAGAATAATGGCACCAGATAGTCCACTATAAGGCTCCCACCCCATCTTAGTAGGCCTGGGAATATCCCGTCCAAGCCCGCAGCTTTGAATGGAAGAAAAGAGTTGATCGCCCATGTTACCTTTTCTCTTGTGACTATTTTGTCAGCTACCTGCCAGTCGGAGTTGACGGTTGCTCTTTCCGCGTATTTCTGCCATGTCTGCTCGTTGGCAATTGTACAGCCAGGAAAGTGAGTCGCCAGCAGTAGCTCACATGTTTCTTCGTCAGTTTTTGTATATGTGTTGTCAGGTTTTTTTAGGCAGCCGACCGAGTGATAGGTTTCCCTAGAGAGGCATGATTTCACTCTGTTTGCCTGGTTGTTGTTTTCAATACTAGTGCAGAAGTGTCTCCAGCACTCTTGCTTTCTAGTACGAAGAAGTTTCTTGAACCGCCGTCTAGCGACTGTGTACTTGTCCCAATCCCTAGGCATCATTGTGTTGCCCGCTCTATTGAACAGTTTTCTGACCTTCCGGCGGTGTCTCTCCAGTTCGGGGCACCACCAGTTCTGTTTGCCCCCCCATCTTGGCATGGTGAGGGGGCATGACTGCTCATAGCTTGTCAGAAGTAGGGACGTTAGGTTATTTGCATGTTTGTCTATGTCTTGTGCATCAATTATTGTTGGTAATGTTAGTTTTGCTATCTCGGAGCTGACTAGTTTGAGAAATTTTCCTGAATCAGTTCTCCGAGGTATTCTTCTAGGTTGTGGTTTAGGTAGGTCCCCTTTGATTGCAAAGCGGATCCACCTGTGATCCGAGCATGATAATTCACCAGACACATGCCAGTCATGTATCTGGTCTGACAGGCCTGGCGTTATCAGTGTTAAGTCAATTATGGTTTTTGAACGTGCGTTGATAAATGTTGGTTCTGAGCCGCTGTTTGCTAGGATAAGATTATTACTAAGTATGAAATTAAGCATATTCTCACCTCGAGCGTTGGTATTAGCATTACCCCATAGCTTGTGATGTGCATTGGAGTCTGCTGCTTTGATGAGCTCCAGTTGCTCCCTCTCGCAGTAGTCGGCTAGAAGACCGAGTTCCGGAGTGGGCACGTCCTCGTCGCCAGGTAGGTAGGCTGACGCCAGGACAATGTCTGGAAGCTCGTTCCTGGGTAACCTAACAACTGTGAGGTCCCTTGAACATAGTTCGTTTATTAGTAATGCTGGTACATGTTTGGGTATTAGTATGCAGGTTCTTGGGTTACTTACGCGGGTGTCCAGTAAGGTTTTACCACCGGTGTTACCCAGGCCGCATATCTTGCCATTCCGGATCCACGGCTCCTGGATCGCGGCGATGGTCTTGGGGTTGGTCTCCAGCAGTCTGCGCAGGGAAGCCGACGCTGTTTGACTATGCTGGAGGTTGGCTTGAATAAGGTCAGTTCGGCGAAGGGGAGGAGCGCAGACAGCTGTCGCTGAGTTCACTCCCCCCGGTCTCCTGAAATAACTCCTCATCCGATGTTAGTTGTGCCGTCTCCATGGGAACGTGAGTCTTGGTCACTCGGCCATCCGCAGCCTTCTCCGTCAGTGACGTGGAAGGCGTTGGCCTCGGTGTCACCGTCCCCGATGTGCTGGCAATGGCTTGAGGCGGGGCGTCAGCCACCTGCGAGGGTTCATCCCTATCCAGGATGCGGATATAAATGTTCCCCAGCAGATAGTAAACACGCCTGTCTTGTTTCTTGATCGTTACGATCTCGGACTCTGGCACACGGAAGAAGAGAGAGACGCCTGTCGGGTCCTTCGTTCTCCGCTCGTGCGTCAGGGTCCACGATCTGATGTTGTAGTGGCGGTTCTGCCTCAAAATCAGTCTCATCAGGTTCTCCGTGCTGTCAGAATAATCTGGGACGTGTAGTAAGCATGGAACCTTTCTAGGGATTGCTGACTGAGGCCTAACTACCAACCAAGTCGAGTATATGTTATAGTTAATTATTGGACTGGACTCAGTTTCCGCGCATTAAACTCTCATTAGGTCTGTTGTGCTAATCATGGCTAACTAAACCAGCCTAACTCCTACCAGAAGGACAGAAGTCTCCTGGGCAATTCACAGAGCGCCCTCACTTCTCCAAGGATTGCTGTTGAGCAGCAACGCATTCCAGGATTACGTGGGTGACTGATTCCTCTGCGCTGAAACAGCCTCTGCACTAACTTACAAAATTTGGGTAGTATAATATGATAAAGGAACAAGATGATGAAGATTTATATTTAATAACATATATTTTTTTTAAAGACAATTCAATTTGTGTTATGGGTACTAGCCAACGGATATACATACATATTATAGATAGATAGGCATATAAATACATATTTAAACACCCAAGACCTAAGCACAACACCAAATGCTCATCACATCGATGTTCGTCTCAACCGGGGATCGAACCCGGGACCCATGGATTCGCAGTCAGGGGTACTAACCACTAGACCAATGTAGTCGTCGTAATAATTTTATAATAAACATTATTATTTCGCCTGGTAGAGCGTACTGGTGACCCCAGAACTGGTGCTTTCCTCGCTCAACGAAAAAGTATCGCAATACAGAAAGGAATTGCTACCAGCATCAAAGGTACACTGCCACAGGGACCAAACTTTTTAAATTGCTATTAATTTTCTTTTTTAATTATTTTTGTTATTAATTTAGTAAAAACTATTTTAAAAGAGTAAGCATGGAGTTTATTGTCCATTCTTCTTATAAACCTTTTGGATGGGGCAACTAGAGTAATTTAAAAAAAAATGAACTTATAATTTTGACTTACAAAAGTGCCTGTCATAAGTAAAGCCGGGTAAATATTACTAGCAAGGTTTTAATCATAACAGGATAATAATGAACCTCATTAAATATGTTTCATTACCTGTTTTCGAATATATATTTTAAATCACTTTGGACACGGACACTACTCAACATGAAGTAAGTTTTTTTTTTAATAATTAATTTATATCTCCACGCCTTATTTATTATTATATATTTATATTTGGTGCGCCGGGTGCGGGGCAGCTCCAGCAACATCTTACGGATGATAGTCGAAAGAATGGAGTGCCCCTATTTACGACACTGCTCCGACATCTCCGCAGGGCTTTGTACCAGATAGTTTTTATTTAACTACTTTTTCCTTATTTTTACTAATTCTCTAACATAGATCTTAAGAAACTATTGTTACTAACTCACTAATCAATCAATGGACTGTATTTGTCTGATTAATAAAAATTATATTATATTATATATATTATATATTTCCAAAGGGGCCGTTCAAGTATTTTAAGCACTTTAGTGAGTGGGGTTTTTACTTCACTTACTTATATTAGCTTCACCTGTATGTATGTATGTATGTAACCGACTCCTTCGGACTCGATTTTGACCAACTTTAAACGGATAGATTTAATTCAAACTTTGTACACTTATAAAGAATCAGCGACAATATTAATTTCATAGGTTTATCTCGAAAAAACAATGAAATTTTTTTAGTCCACAAAGCAATACGGTTAAATTAAGACAACACGTATTGCTATTAGGACTAAAAAGTGGAAAATAAATATAGTTAAAAAAAACTAAAAAACACGCTTTTAAAGCACATCAAACTAATGCGCGCTCTGTGCCATATTTTTCGTCTATCGAGCAACCCACGCTTTTCACAATAATACCAGTATTTTTTGTTCATTACCATTTTCAGCCATAATTAGGAATTATTTTTTCACTTTTTAGTTTGATGTGCTTTAAAAGCGTGTGTTCTAGTTTTTTTTAAACTATTATTAATTTTTTATTGTTTAGTTAAAAAAAATTTAAGTGTTTTGCATTAAACATCAATATTATTAACAATAAAGTTTTAAAATATATAAAAAAAAAACATTTTTTTTTTTCAAAAACCCAATTGTCCAAGAATACCAGTTTCCTTACGACGTCTATATAAGAAAGTGGTAACATAGGTAAAATCCATTGTTACATCGCCGGGATTTATGTTTTTTTATCATCATCATTTATTATCAGAAATACCTACTAAGGATCTGTTTCACAATGTATGGATAAAGTACCAAATGGCTATGCAACACATAAATTATTTGGAAGATAAATTGTGCTATTTGACATTCATCGTACTCATAACTTATGATGGACTTTATGTGACGATTAGGGCTATCTGACAGTCGTGAAACGCAACAATAGTGTTTATCCTACCAATAAGTAATAAATAGCTAATTAGAACTTATCCGGACATTGTGAAACAGACCCTAAATATATACTTGGTCTGGCTATAAATACAGTTACAATTGAAAATTAACAAAATATTACATTTGAATTTGGAATTTTTCATTTTTATATGATTCTTCATTGAGTTTTCTCATTTTGGCGCCAATACATTGTACAATATTTTGCGATATTATAATGGCGAGGGGTGAATCGCTGTGAACTAATGCATAGTTCAAAGTTAATTTTAAAAACTTCATACGCAATTAGAAAAATGTTTGTGTACCGGGCTATTAATAAAGTGTATAAATCTATATCTTCTATATATATATAAAAGAAAAATGGTCTTCGTTTGAGGCTCCTTCACGCCTAAACCACTGATCGCATCGACATGAAACTACCACCATTCGATGCGAAATTTTTCCTAGATGGTTTATGGCTATTTATTTATTAAATTCCAACGTTCCTTCATTTTTTTATTGCTGTTTTACTTTTATGAAAATTTATCCATACGGACTTCACCGCGGAAACATTCGGGAAGGCTTCCTAGAACCTCAAAACGTCACCATCTGTTAAAAACTCGATTTTCGAGAATATTAAATTTTCTTAGCGGGAAGTTAAAAAAAAGAATAATAAAAATATGAAAAAATAATAATAATTAAACATAAACTTTTATTTATTTCCTATTTTAATTCGCCCAGCGAAGCGGGCGGGAAACGGCTAGTGTATATCATAAAATAAAAGTATTATATCTTTTTTTCTAGATTTCTACTAATCTGCCTACTTGCCGCGTATTGCTACGCCGATGACTCTAGTGAATCATTACTATCAAAAATTGAAGATCATCAAATGACACTTCGCGTTTGGGAAGAAGATAACTCCCGGTTATTGTCGACTCTCATCGAAGAACAAAAGAAATACGACAATGCCAAGAAAAACGAAGTTGTATTGTTACAAACTGTCGATTATTTGGTTAGAACTAACATGGAAATTTTAGAAAACGTTTTAATGCGACTAAAGGAGATACAATTTACCATAACTGAGGATAAGAACCCGGAAAATGATGTTATGGTAAACGAAAAATATAGTTTGATTAGTAAATTCGGAACAGACTCCGATACACGTACAGTTGATTGGATAAACAATATCATGAAGGAAAAAAATGGGATGAACTAGAAGGCAAATACAGAAAATAAAATTTAAGAATAATAGGACACAATAGAAAACAACTTGACCGTATACAACGCAGTGCGGTTTCTGTAACTCACTTTTCGAACTCACCGCGGTTTTCGCATCGGCGGTCGCTTTCAAATCAGTCGTGAATCATTTTATGATTTGGCATTCTGATTTGGTGGGGAGCTTGTAGTTTATTGTTGTATATTTTTGTATTTTTTGTATTTTTATAGGTGTAACTGTGCTTTGTGTATGTTTAATCCGTTTTTGGCCTTTGTGTAGAATGTAATTGTTAGAATATTGTTTAATAATTAGCTGTAGGAATACCGTTGTAAATAAATCTATATATATAAAAATTAAACCCGTTTTCCGTTGTCACGACATAACATGAAAACGGCTTGACCGATTTGTCTGATTGTTTTTTATAATATTCCTTGAAGTACGAGGATGGTTCTAACGGAGAGAAAAATTAAAAAAAATTGAGTGAAAAAGTCTAAAAACAACACTTTTCTCTATTCCCATAAAAAAATATTCGTAATAATATTTAAAGGCAAATTGAACTTAAATACCTTTAATAAGTTCAGGTGTTAGTGGAGGGGTTCCGGGAAGGTAAATTTTTATTTTTTGACATAATGTATTTGTTGTATTATCAACTATCTTTTTTTATCTTACTAGCTAGACCGGTGTCCTGAATAGCAGAATAAGTATAAAAAAAAAATAAAGAATCGACTGTTAGGCGGTACGATGTTCGCCAGGCCAGCTAGTAAATAAATAAATAAATAATGATATATATTTACAACACGAAGATAGCTTCTATGTTTTTTTTCTTTATAGTCATATTCGCATAAAGACCTGGTGCTGAAAACCACGAAAACGTCTTATCTGAACAATGTAATAAAATCCCGTTTAAGACGCGAATTGTGAACAAAGTTGAAGTTTATTTTGATGTTTCGTTCTTCTTCTGCAGTTTTTTTTTTAAATACTGTACATTCTAGAACATAAACAAGATATTTCATAACTCAAAACAAAGACACCATTTTGTATCGCGTTCACTCTAATACACTAATATATATCGCTGTCTCATGATAATTAGAGGCCGATGGCTGGCCATGCGTCATGCTCGTGAACGGGTGCTGCTTGTGGTAACTGGTCGTGCTTGAATTCACGTATGCGGTAATATTAGTTATTTCGACTATGTATTTGCGTGTTTTTCCCACGATAATGTAAGTACGTGCTCCTATTTCACCATGCCTCCTGCTGATAAAGGACAAATCTTTGTTTTTAATTTATTTTATTACTAGCTGGCCTGGCGAACATCGTACCGCCTAACAGTCGATTCTTTATTTTTTTTAAATACTTATTCTGCTATTCGGGACACGGGTCTAGCTAAGATAAAAAAAAGAAAGTTGATAAGACAACAAATACATTATGTCAAAAAAAATTTACCTTCCCGGAACCCCTCCACTAACACTTGAACTTTATGATATGGTATTAAAGTTCAAATTGACTTTTAAGTATTATTACGAATATTATGTATGGGAATTTAGAAAAGTGTTGTGTTTAGACTTTTTCACGCAATTTTTTTAATTTTTCTCTCCGTAAGAACCATCCTCGTACTTCAAAGAATATTATAAAAAAAAAATTGGCCAAATCGGTCAAGCCGTTTTCATGTTATGTCGTGACAACGGAAAACGGGTTTCATTTATATATATATAGATTATGTATTTATTAAGATGTCTTGTGGAACATGGTGTAATGGTTGCAGCAGCAAACGTTGTGTAAAACCAAAAAAACTTGGCGATTAAAAAGAGTGGCGGAGAGTTTATTGCCAGTTCTTCTCTTCCTTTCTACGCCCTTGATTTGAGAACTGGCAGTAAATGTAAAATCAGAAGCAAAATTAGTATATTTCTTTTTTGACGTTCATAAGTGTACATTGTGTTACCTATATGAATAAATGATCTTGACTTTTGATGATTTTTTTTAATTTTTTTTATGGCTCTGGCACGATTTGTGCATTAGCCAGCGTCAAGTATAGGATTTTTTATAATTCGTTATTGCCTTTAGAAATTCGACCGTGTCCTCCATGTACGGTTTAGGCACTCGCCCGGTACCGCACAACCCTCCTAAAGGCCGAGAACAAATTTAAATTAAATTAATACTTGCTCTCGAACCGGGAATCGAACCCGGTACCCCTCACCTAGCTGCCACTTAATAAGTCCGCTAGGCTATGAGGCCCCTCTTTTGATAATTATAGACTTATCTTGTAAACAAAAATAGAAAGATTAAATGTGACCTACAATATTTTATTAAAATAGCTTAAGTTTTAGTTAAGTAAGTTCTAAATCCTCATATCCAGTTGGCACATCTGTACAGCAGACATGGAGGTGGTGTGAACATCCGAGTCGGCTTCTGGAAATTACATTATCTTATGTAAACTAATATAATAAAAAAAATTATTTTCCTCTCTGGCGGTAGTTTTGATTTGCGTTCCTTAGACAATCTAATTCTTGAAACTCCCATTCATAAAACTGAGTTCTATCACTCCTTCTTCACCGTGCAAAGTATCCTGCTATGGAATTCCTTACCTATTCATATCAGACGAGCTCAGTCTTTAAATTTATTGCACGCCTCGCAGTGCTCTACTCTCGACATGTCAAAAAACCCAGTCTTTCGAAACTTGAATGACTTTTTTCTCACTAATATAACACTTACAGGATAATATGAGTGCACTAAAATCGAGTTAAATTATCTATCAAGCACATATGGTATTTTTTATGAACAATTATTTTGTTTAACATAGTAAATAATAACATTAAAATCAATCATTCTTGGACGTCCGTCAGTCTGTGTTTATGGATCCATGTATGTGGCAGAGAAATTGGTCGAAAAATTTATCGTAATACTACTTACTATAATACTTTTTTTCATATTATATTAAGTTATACCCTGGGCTGATTCCTAGTTAATATTAGCGTTCTAAGTACTGTCGTTTAATTATAATTTGTAAAATCTAAAATACGAGTGTTCCTCACCTTAGAGTTATGGCGCCACTAAATATGTATGTTTAAATATTCTTCGTAGCGTGAGACTTAAAGATAATAATTTATTTTTTATTTTGTTTTAAAAAACTTGAGTTTTTGTTTTAAATTAAAAAAAAAATGTGAATGACCGCTATGAGGCGTGCACTTTTGGATTTTACAAACTATTTAAAAATCTTCTTTTTGATCATCTTTAAACCTCGTGATTAGCTACTACTTTTATATATTAATTGTGAGTCAATAAACCTTAGGCTGAGCTATTACATGTCTGTACATACTATTATTTATACCTTTTCTTTAGATTTTATTTTATTTAATTTTAGTTAAAGTTGCATGTTATTTTTAGTATCTTTTTTTTTTTTTTAAAGACAATTCACACCAATTGACCTAGTCCCGTGCTAAGCTGGTGAAGCTTGTGTTATGGATACTAGGCAACGGATATACATACATATTATAGATAGATAGACATATAAATACATATTTAAACACCCGAGACCTAAGCACAACACCAAATACTCATCACATCGATGTTTATCTCAGCCGGGGATCGAACCCGGGACCCATGGATTCGCAGTCAGGGGTACTAACCCCTAGACCAATGAGTCGTCGTAGTTTTTGTTAATTAATTATGCATCTCTTGTACTTTACCCTCGTAGGTGTTTTTTTTTTCTATTGTTTCATATTAGGGTTGCCTGGAAGATCGCTTGTTACCGATAAGGCCGCCCATTGCCTAATAACTTATGTAACCTACTTACTTTTTTGTTTTTTTATATTTATAATTATGTGTATTATGGCAATGAAGTATAAATAAATAAAATAATATTAAAAATTAACATATAAACTATATAAGTACCCTTTATCAGGTAATTTATCCTGGGGCCCATCATAACAGGTGAAATATGATATGCATTCACCAATTTCGCCCGCAGACGTCAAACACGGACTGCTGGGAACTGAAAATGTAAGCGTGAATTTTAATCTGCTAAACTAGTTTTAAAAGATAATAATAAATAAAAAATCGCTGTACCTCTTAGGAGCACCGATTTTCAAAGAAGGTTTTGAAGAATACATTAACTCGACAATATCAAAATTTAAAGATCTTTCTCACCGTCTTCTGGATATTACAGCACACTCAGCTTTGTTCATTCTAAAATTCTGCCTTTTTATTCCCAAATTAACTTACGTACTTCGCTGTAGCCCTCTATGGAATCATTCAGTTTTTTAAGTGATTTGGATAATCTTTTAAAAACTTCTTTGGAATCTATTTTAAATGTTCGTTTTGATACACCTTCTTGGAATCAAGCATCGCTTCCTGTTCGCTTTGGCGGATTAGGAGTACGCAAGATAACAAGTGTAGCTCTTCCAGCGTTTCTCTCATCTGCTCACAAATCTAGCAGTCTGGTAGGTAAAATCCTTAGATATTATTCTACAAACTACGAGATTGCGGATTTAACAGATGCAAGAAACGCGTGGATAGCATCCAACCCAGGTTTGAGTTTGCCTTCTAGCGTCAACTTTCAAAGAAGCTGGGATGATCCTCTTTGCAAATGTGAATTCAAAAAGTTATTAGGTCACATTCCAATAACAGACCGTGCAAGGTTGATGGCTGTGGGGTCTAGGGAAGCTGGACATTGGCTTAATGCTTATCCTTCGCCAAACACTGGCACCCTTTTAGACCCTGAATCACTTCGAATTGCCATCAGCCTACGCTTAGGAGTGCCCATATGTACTCCCCATAAGTGTCCCTGTGGTTTTGAAGTAAGTAGCCTTGGACACCATGGCCTACACTGCCAAAAGAGTGCAGGTCGTTTTTCTCGCCATGCCGCGCTAAACGACATTATACGCCGCTCTCTTGCCTCTGTCAATGTTCCAGCAATTTTGGAGCCAACAGGCATCGCAAGAGACGATGGCAAGCGGCCGGATGGAATGTCTTTGATCCCTTGGAAAATGGGACGGGCTTTAGTA